AAAAATATACCCGCGATTATTAATATTGTTCCGTTAAACGGTACATCCGGCGAAGACCGGGTTCCAGCCGACTTATCGGCTTTCATCGGTCCGATGATTTATAGCATTCTTGCTGGCGACGATTTAAAGGCGCCGCGGTGATTCGACGATAACCGGGATGATGTATAGGACGAGAGGAGTCCGCGTTTCGTTTCGTCTTCCTTGATTTTGTATTTCGATCGTCGCAATTAAAACGACCACGAGGAAGGCCTCGTTTTCTCGCATTCGAGAATTATATTTCGGCGGGCGAATCTTTTCGGCCCGGCCGCGGTAGCGTCGTTAATCATTTCCGCGTGATCATTTCGAGCGAGCGCCGACAGAGATGGATGTTACGCTCGAACCGAGCGATACCATCGAATTTAATTCCAGAAACCCACGGGTTACGTCGAGCGTGAAAGGAGCCCGGTTCGACGACGCGGTCTACACCCGGACGGCGTTAAACGCGCGCCGTTTAAGAAATGTCATTATTCGCGAGCGCATCTTCGCTTCCGGATTGGTACGCTTGTGTTTTAATAACGCACTTTCGCGCCGCGGCGAAGCTAATGGCCTCTTCCGAGAATCATAGCTGTTACCACGCTTTGTGATCCATATAGTTGGACATGCTCGGTAACGCCGCTTAACTATGGACCACTAATTTTTTTTACGGCCCCGCGCGTATCCAGAAATGTAGCAAGAGTAACGAACGGCCGAGTAAAAAGCGTTTCGACGCTCCATTATGGCGCGCGACGGTCTGCATCGGCAAACAAGCGAATCTTGCGCTCGCGTGCAGCTTGTTTATAATACATAATTCGCAAATCCGTTACAATGATTACGTAAACTTTAACCGACAGTTTCGTTGATCGTGTTTTTATAATCGATAGGTACAATCGACGATTCCTGCGACGTTCGTTCTTCGCGTAGCGTCGAGTGAACCTCGCAGGAAGTGCGAACTTCCCGAAGGCGACGACGTATTTCGTGTAATAAGGCAAACATTCAGGTTTCTCTTCGCGGAGGCCTTTTCAGGGCTACGCCAAACGAGTGCCGATACTGTCGACGATAATGGCGATTCTAACGGCGGGCTCTACGTCTTCGCCGAGTCGCCGACAAACCCTCGTCCTTCGACGGGAATTGCATAGTTGAACGGCTCTTTTGTCGTTGTAACTGGTAACGAGCCACGGACCGGACGGTAAATCCCATACGAACGTCTCGTCGACCATTCGGCAATGACAACCTCTCCAAATGTCTTAATACAAATTAAAAATCGACGATAAAGGAGAATCTCAACGCGCTTGCGTTTGCCTAAGCTAGATTTGGTAGCTAACAGACTCTCGTAACAAGTTTTAACCGGAGTACCGAATGGTAATCTAACTGGATTTAACTGCGTCTAAAGGCAAGGTTTGCTGAGTCAGCCTCGCTGACGAGAAACGCCATTTTTATTTATCTAATCTTCGCTCGAGGCTTCGAAAGGTGGAACTAATCGTTAAATATATTGTACGACGACGTTTCCGGAATTTTTTAAACAATCCCAAAGCCTCCTTTCGTAAATCAACGCTGGGATTCGCGACGTGTTATAATAATTAAAATTATATCTACAGTAAACATAGAACTTTTCTAACGAAGCGCCATCGTCGGAATCAAACACGGTCCCAGGGACACTGAAATCTTCGGAAACCTACGGTTGACATAGTCTAACATCTCCTAACGACAGTTTAAACATTCTCGAAGGAAAGAGTACGCGCGAGTGTCCTTCGGCGTAAACTGCCTCACACGCGCGAGATCTTTTTGTCGTTGATAAAGCGTGTGAAACGAACGTTGCAACGCGCCAAAAGCCCGCTAAAATTTCAAACGATCGACAAACCGCGCGATTAGACCGTTCCTTGCGTAGTTTGCATGCAAAGCGGATGAAAATCGCCGTGCAGCTCTCAAGGGACTGACCCAAATGCAGATCGCTATCATCTGGAGCGTACTGACGAGACGAGGCTGACTCACTGTCAATGAGAATCGCATAAATTAGCATGGCTGATCGACGACTTTGTTCCCTTTCAAAAGCCGATTTAATTCGCTGCTCAACAGGTACCTGGCCAACGCAATGGAACAGTAAACAAAAAGTATTAACTTTACAACAGACAATAACACTAGAGAGCTGTATAAATTAAGCGTTCCTTTTTTGAAACACGTTGGTCTCGTAAGTTTTTGTATCCACGATTCTGAATCGCCCGGTAAAATATTCCATTAAACGCTTTTCGCAAATTGCAATCAATGCGCAACGATGACGCGTTCGTTTATTATTCAATCGTAAAATTCGAGCCTGAACTTTTTGGCGCGTCCTTCGAGAATGGAAATAATAATAAGCCAGCGCGGCGCGCGGACTCGACAGAGGACGTATACGACCCTCTCGGAGCTTTTATGCGAATAACGTTTCAAAGAAGCCGAATGCTTCGTTAACAACAATTCTCTACGGATCGGTTTGCATCCTGCACGCTTTGCTGCCAGGAGACACGCTGAAACCTTCGAACGCGACGCGATTTTCAATTCAGACGGCCGCTCGGAGGCATAACTTAATAACGATACGCGTGTAGCCATTACGCGAGCTGTTGTAACGCCTAAATGGAATTAGAATTTTTCGAGACGAGAGACGGGAGAAACAAACGAGATCGATATATCGTTACAAGTATTTAGAACATTTATTCAGGTCGAGATAAATAATATCTGCCCTCGCTCCCGACCACACGTTTTTGTCGCTTAATTTTTCTCGTTTCTCCCTTGTTCCGCGATGCTAATGGGAAAAGATGGCGGGCAATAAATCAAGGAGACGGTGTAAAGAATGGGCCTTTACGACTTAGCAGACCTCCAAGTGATTCCAACCATCTTTCCACCCCGCTAGGTCTTTGTCTTGCAAATACGTCGTTTAACGCATAACAGAGACCTCCGTTGTAATTTCAAATATAATATATAAAGTTCGAGGTGGAGAGAAAAAGATCGGAATTAACTGTAAAAAGTACGCGAGCGTTTCCGAGGCGAGCGAAGAAAAACGTCGTAGATTTACACACCGTGATTCGTGCAAACCAATGTCTACAGCGTGTTTCATCCGTGACCATCTTGATGGTTACAGCCGAACGCAGCACGTGTGCTGTTGCTGCGCTGCCATTGTGCGAGAAAAAGACCAAGGGAAACGCTGCACGATATTTCTTAGCGAATCACGACATCGATAAACCTTTAACGGTGCACGGGCATGGAATTCTTGGCGCGCCGGTGGATCTTCGATTCGATTCGGTCGCCGACCAGTCATCTAATAATCTCTACTGTTTCGGATCGGATCATACGTTCAATGCACGATTCTGAGTACGTAACGCGATACTTCCTGTCATTTGTAGGGTAATGCCGCTCGTGATTAAATTGTTCAGCCGTCTATTCGCATTACCAGACGTTTGTAATTTCCGCTCGGAGCAACGGCACGTAAGCCTAAGTAAATTTTACTGTAACCGCCTCTATCTAAATTTTACCAATATTTTTTTGCAATTTTCACGATTGCATGTAACTTGCCTCTGTGTACTTAACATTCTCGAGTTACGAAGTCTTAAATCAACAACCTGGATGCACAAGGACGTCGAAATTGATCTTGCCAATTTCTGCTGAACTGTTAACACTCTTACACGACGCTTAATGACTTCGTCCTACTTTGCGGAGATCCTCCGTGATTAAAAGTAAAAATTGTGTAATATCGAATACTCGTTTTCGTCCTTTTACGATCACCGCTTGGGCACACGTTAATCCACATAGAATGTGGTACGTCGAAAAAGTGTCACGTCGTGTCCCGGACGATGATGACATTCTACTTGCGTCACTGTGTGCTCGTGTGACGATTTGGTTCCCTCTTTTCGAAGCCAACGACCTCGCGATACGCGCGGACTTCCGATTACGTGACCATGAAATTTCGATCGATCGTAATACTTAACCGTGAAATTATTTTTCACCGTTGATCAAGCCGTTAACCGGCGATCCGTACCTACGTTAGCACCTGACAGGCGTTAAAGTCTCCTATACGTTGCAAATATACTGGATGTTTCGCTTATCTCGACTACTTCGAAGGTACAGAAAACGAAACAAGAATTCTAGGAACTTAGGGGCGCGAGAAATTAAGTGCATAATCCGGGAAAAATCATTGGACATAAATATTGGGTCGGAAACCGATTCCACGGCAAACAAGTAAACACTATAATTTATGTTTAAAAGGTACGGGCGGAACGTTGGCCAGGCCGTTGCATGAAATCCGTGCGATTCACGGGGGAGAACCGTGACAAATGTACCAACAGTACCACTTGGTTGGGAATACAAGTGTGACCGTGCTGTAATAGATTATTTCCATATTAACCATCACGCTTCGTGTACCGCTGATCGGGACGATATGAGTTTTCTGTACGGTCCCACCTGCCGTGCCTCGCTTCGAAAACATCCATTTTTTTTTTTCTCTTTTTCGTGAGCGTACCGTCTCGGCGCCCAGTACCGTTATTGGTATTACTACACGCCTGACTAAATTTATCGAGGGTTCGAATTATTGAATCGTCGAATAGCGGCAGTTAGTTCGGTGAATACGGCGCGGGACAAGACGATAGCGCATCTTACACTCTCCCATATTTCGTGAAACTGACTTCAAAGGACCCGGGCAGCCTTCCGAGTATCGTGCATTAAGAATTAATACAGGTTCTGCACTCCAAATTCGCCTTTCCGCAGACCAGATTTATCTAGATATCTGTCTTTCGAAGCCACTGTAACGAAGGTAAAATTCGATGTAAAATAACACGAAATTAACATAAAATACTCATTTAACGCTGAAAATATCGATCGCTTACCTTTCGAAAATCACAAAAAACCGATGAAATGACTTTTGAGTCGCCCACGAGGTGAATTTTTTTACAGAAGGATGAGCTTGATCCGTGAAAGGATTGATAAAGTGGACGTGGTCGTATTTTGTTTAATTATAGAACGATTATTACTTACCACCGCGGTCAACATGGTCGAGGGTGTCTCCGCATCAGACGAAGAAACAAAGGGGCAGTACCACGTGGAAAGTCGGCAGCGCGATGTTGATAATCTCCGCCATGCTAGTATTAATCGCTGTCTTCGCGATCGCTGGACTGGCTTTGTGGATGGGAGGTTCGTCCACGCTTTGCTACTCGGTTCTTTTCCACAAAATTATATTAAATTAGTCAAAACTTATAAAAAAAATGAAACTTTGTTTCAGCTCTCCGAACAGACTCGAAAAATGGTAAGCACTGCACGTTAATAATCGACTCTACTTAAATTTAATCGTATACAATATTACCCTGTACGAAATAATTTGCATAATTTTGTATGAATTATTTCTGCAACATCGCGTACATAAAAAATTTATCCTGCATCGTGCATAGACTTTAATTTTAGATTTGTTATGTAGGAATTGGTATTTTCAAATATTAATTAACAATTACAGCTATCGTTGGATTCACCTGCACCTTCAGGGTGGCCAAAGGTGAAAAGTACAACCCCATGTTGAAACTAAATACGAGCATGGTGTTTCGCGAGAAGGAACGAAAGTATAAGAATATAGTAAGTCCTGACTCAAGGATATTTCTGCAATGAATTAAAACGACGATGGCTCACGAATTTTGCTATTGCATTTTAGTTCGAGCTCCTATTTAGAAGAAGCGTTCTAGGCACTGCTTATCAGAAGACCATCATAGACAAATTCGAAAGCGGCATTCTGAAGGTCTTCTTCAGGATATATCTGGACAGAAGGAAGGTGCCGCGATCGATCACGAACATCGAGGATACGCTCGAAGACATAATCGCGAAGGAGACGTACTCGTCGTCTTCTCTGTTCAAGGACATGGAACTAGACCTCACCACGATATCGGTTAAAAGTAAGTAGTTATTGATCTATATCGAATCACGTGCCCCGGTTCTTTTCTACTTTTCAAAACCAATTGTAAAAATTTGCGATACAATTTTCCCGTGCCACGATTTGTATTAATTTTTTCCGCAGGAATAAATCAGGACGCAGCCGGAGGTCAGAAACAGTCGCAGCAGAAAAACGCGATGATCACGAAGAACGGTCTCCTGCGCCCGAGTCGGAACAATTCGCTGATCACGAGCCCGAAAACAAAAACGAAACCGAGCAAACCAGAATCCAGCGAGCCTGAAATCGATTTCAGCAACATACCGACGATTCAGGGCACGTACAAAGCCACGAAAGTGAACGCCACCGCTCAGAACAAGATCAATTCCACGGAGGGTGTTAGAACGCAGCCCGACGCGAGGAACGACACGAGAGGACCGTTAGCTCGCGAGGAAACTACTATGAAATCCTCCACTGTAGGAACGAGCGAGCCAACGCGCGGTAACGTGCACACGGTGCCCATTAAAATCAAACAGAGGGTAAATTACACAGCGAACGACGCGCAACTCAACGAAACCATCACGGAATCAACCGCGAGGGTCCCGACGTCCACGATGGCCGCCGCTCTGAACAAAACTGACGACATTTTCAAGGATTTCCGGAAACCCGATTTCGAGACGTCGCCGTGGAAGCCGATCATACCCGGTTACGTGAACACCGAATTGAAACTATTGCCTGGGAACGTAGAGACGACCAACAACAAAGTGAACTACAGCAACGCGAACGTTGGGGAAGCAATGGTCCCCGAAACGACCCTGAAACCGCCTCGACACACCGTTCAGAGCGTCCTCGAAACGTCGACGACGCGAACGAAAGTCGCGGAGCCGCCGGAAACGCTGATCTCGTTCGCGGACGTTCCCGGTATGAGCACCTTCGACACGGACGACAGCGACTTCCCGCGCGACAGGATCGTGCCCCAGGAAATGGTGAACTTCCGTGTGAACGGGAAATTCAAGAACAAAATCCCGGGACTCCTGGAGGACGGGCAGATCTTCACCGTGCCTCCGGCGAGGACGGACGACGCCGAGAAGCCGGAAATAGAAGTGGCGGGCCAGCTGCCGCTCGAGACCTACGACCTGAAGCTACGTACTTCCGCTCAGCCCGAGAGAATGGAATTTTCGTTCACGAAACCCTATCGGTCCACGAACGAGAACGAGACTGGCTGGAGAGTCCCTGGATCGCGAGTCTCCTACACGATAACGGATCCCATTCGCGACTCGGAAGACGCCAAGCATCCTGGAGGCTCGTCGAAAACGAACAAGAAGAGAGTGGACCAGGTTACCGCGAACACGGAGAAACGAAACTCGACGATCGGTTCCAGTACACCCAGATGGAACGTGCAGAGGCCGACACAACCCGACGTGGAATCGACCACGAAAGTGTCCAGGGTAGGCGTGGCGGAGCCTATTTCGGACGTGGACGTCGAATTGGAGCCTAGGAACCGATACTCGGACGTCCAAGGGGTTACCAAACACCATAATAACGCTTTGCAAGACAGAAAGGTTGACAAGACTGTCCAGGAGCCTGTGTACACGAGCTACAAGACGCCCGATTTGAACGGGGCCGCTCTGAGGCCAAGCTTGATCGAGAACTCTGGGACGCTCAAGCCTTTCAGGCACACTATTCCGGTCGACAAGATCACGTCCGTGGTGGATGACGACGGGAACGATCAAGAGTCCTCGTCGAAGCAAGAGACTAATGCCGTGACCGACAGCATAATACACGAGGAAGAGAAATTCGTCGAGGTGGCTCAAACGAACGCGAACGCAAACGCGACGCGAGTGTTGCCAGGAGACTTGGAAAAAGTCGTGGAAGTAGAGACTTTTGTCAGGGATCGGGAAACGAACGTTCCGATGGAGCACGCAAAGATCGAGATGTTCGATCGCGTGACGCCAACGGAATCGAGTACTCGAGGTATGATAGACGACGAGAAATTGTTGAAACTGAGCACGACGGAAGTCTACTCGGAGATGATTCACCCGTCGTACAATAACATAGACAAACTGGTCGTGAGGAACGAGGACACCAAGGAGACGCCACCGGAAAGAATAACGTCGAACGTATCGAGAAACTCCACGTTCATAGAAATCGACACGCTGCAGCACACTCCTGGACAGACCGAGGACAACGATTCGTCGAGACACAGGCCGCCTTTCGATACGGAGGACGAGTCGTACTGGTTCTCCAACGAAACCACGAATCGACCCGGCTCGCTGGAGACCCGGAAGAAGGTCTACAACGACACCCTGAAGGCATACGTGGTGGAGAACTTGGTCACGTTGGCGCCCGCCAAGAGCAACACTGCTGTTGGCAGGCCTGTCAGACCCAGACCCAAAGTCGACAAAGAGAAAACCGCGAACCGAAGCTCCACGGAGGACGCGATGCTTCTGGAGCAGTTGTTCGGCGTGCAGAGTCGCGACAGAAACACGACGAAACGCGATTCGCCTAATCGTCGGGACTACCTCCAATCCGAGGCGTCGGAGAACGCGAACGGGCACGCCAGGATCGAGCAAATCGTAGAAGTGGTGACGTCGATCAGCACCAAAGTGTCCTCGAACTTCAACGACGATCCTATCGTGCTGAAACTCATGATCACCAATTCTACGTCGCTTCCGGTGATACGCTCGGAATCGCACGAGGAAACGTCGACGCAACGAGTACCGGAAGAGTTTGCCGCCGACGACAGTCGCGAAGAGAATCGTTCGTTCGAAGGCGACTCGAAGATGGATCTAGATCCGAGCAAAGGGGGCGAGAAAGTAGAAAAGTCTCACGATCAGACGATTCAGACGTTCGACAGGAAGATCTCCACGATCGAGGAAAACCGATTTCTGCTGGAGAAGCTGAAGCAACTAGCCGCGATCGGGACCGACGACAAGCCGGTGAAAAGTAGCAAGAATCATTCGAGACCTCAGGTTTCGAACGCGAAACCGGAAGCCCGGCCGTTGCTCGATTTCGAGAAACTGAAGGAGATCGCGGACATCGCGACCGGGAACAAGACCTTGATGAACTCGAGCGCGGGGTTCACGATGACACGCGACGGAGTGGAAATATTCACCAAGATCTTGAACAAGATGGAGGATCGAGACGACAAGATGATCTCCACCACCGAGAAAACTACAGAAGCTGGTAATTATTTAGGGGTATCTTTAGAGGTTGTATCCGCCTAAACATCGACTTTGGAACTTTGAAATCAATTAATTTTTTTAACGCACAGGCGTATACAACCCCTATAACAAATGCATTCCGATCATTTTGTCTGCGATTAAAGATTCTGATCTGACGCCATCCGTTTTCACAGACGATTGTTTCGGTTTCCTATGCAGAGACGGGAAATGTCTGCCATCCAGTGGCAGATGCAACATGTTGGGTGAATGTTCGAATTCGGAGGACGAAGCGAACTGTACGTGCGCCGACTTTCTAAAAGCGCAGCTCCTGCATCAGAAAATTTGCGACGGCGTGGCCGACTGTTGGGACTATTCGGACGAAACTGACTGCGGTATTTATCTTACGCGCGAATCGATACAATCTATAGTTGATTTCGAAAGCTTAAACTCGGAGACAATATCTCGTTGTAATAAATTCTAACTCGAAACGACCGACTACACCGTTATAAATTGTTTTTCTTAATTTGTCGTTAGACTGGTGCGAGGAGGGTCAATTCGTGTGCGGTAACAGTCGATCCTGCGTGGATCAAGATAAGGTTTGTAACGGTTTCGCGGACTGTCCCGAAGGGGAGGACGAAAAGAAATGCGCTGCGCTCATAGAGGACGACATAGTTCTAAATCACGAGAACACAAGCGCGTTTCCAACGCGGGAGAATAATTTTGAGACGACGGTGACGGAGGACGCGTACCCATCGGTGCAGGAATATTTTTCGGAAATCGAATCCACCACTGACAAGGACGTCGTCTTCGATCAAGAAGCAGTCGAATCCTCCATCTTAGAATCCACTACTCTCCGTGCTCTCAAGGACAACGTTCGGCTGGAAAAAATTATAAACACAAAAACTGAGTCGACGATCAAGGAAGGAGCGGTCTTTGGCAACCGTGAACGATCTAACGCCACTCTAGTTTCCGGAAGGGAAATATCGTCGAATGGAAAGGACGTTCTTACTCGTGGGAACTCTATCCACGTAAATGCAAACGAGAACGACGCTACCTCCATCAATGTTAAGAAGGAGATTAACAATTACAACGAGGAGGGTTACATAAACATACGAAAGAACGGGAAATGGGGAAAATTGTGCTTAAGTGGAATGGATACTCTTTTGCAAGAGAGGCAAGCTACCTGGACCATGGAGGACCTCGGCAGAGCTGTTTGCAAGGCAATTACGTATCAGTAAGTATTTTCCAAAAATTGTGTAACACTTTCGACTCTAAAATACGACAGTAAAACATTAAAAAATGATTTATTTACGCGTGGAAAATGTCTCGACAAATCGGTTAACGCTTTCCAGAGATTACGAAACCGTCGAAAAGGTATTGGACGAAAGGCCAACATCCAGTCGCTCGTATTACACGTTGTCGTACAACGAGAAACCCCTGGATAAGACGATCCTGACTTTCAAACCATCCGAGTGCCCGAGCGGCGAGATTCTCAGGGTCAAGTGCAAGAACCTTGAGTGCGGAATAAGAACGCAGGTTCCATCGCAGGCAAGGTATACTCACTGAACCAGTTTCTCATAATTATATACCGACCAGAACATTTATACAACTATTTTGTATACAAACTGCGCCCGAGGATAACGCCCTCCTCCTGCGTTTCAGTAATAACAATATATCGATCGCGGGGAAAAAAAAAAATATATACACGGCACGCATAAAATTAGAATTTCAAACGATCCTTATTGCTCCCAACGAGCCACATTATATCGTGCATCGACATCGTAAATTTTTATCAAGATCATCGGGAATACTGCTAATCTGCCGAAAACTTCTGTCGCTTTTGTTTTTTTGTTAGAGCCATTATGTTTGAAAAATAATATCTATCTTTCGAGTAGATTATATTTTTTATAGAGAATGAAATACATGAACGTACTTGTCTAAGACGTATGCATTGAAGCAGATCGAATGTTTCTCGACGTTCCAGGATAGTTGGGGGCGGTAGCTCTTCGGCTGGAAGCTGGCCGTGGCAGGTGGCTCTGTATAAGGAAGGCGATTATCAATGTGGAGGTGCTCTCATCAGCGACAGATGGATCCTATCCGCGGCGCATTGCTTTTACCAGTAAGTGATGCAAATATATTAAAAACATATTAAAATGAAAGAAAGGAAGCCGGTAAAGATTCAACAGAAATCTCGAATAGGGTAAAATTGTCGCTATGCAAAGTGTAAATGTAGATCCAAGCTTTAAGAGTTGGTAGAATGGTAAAATTGTTCGAACCGTTTCAAATGGAAAATTCGGGTTTTTTCGCAGTGCTCAAGACGAGTATTGGGTGGCAAGGATCGGAGCAACTCGCCGTGGAAGTTTCCCGAGTCCTTACGAACAAGTGCTACGCTTGGACCACATATCCTTGCATCCCGAATACATCGACAACGGATTCATAAACGACATAGCGATGCTGAGGCTCGAGAAGCCGGCGATCTTCAGCGACTACGTCAGACCGATATGTCTTCCTGAAACAGAGCCAAAAAGTGGTACTATGTGCACCGTGACCGGATGGGGGCAACTGTTCGAGATTGGAAGAATATTTCGTAAGTATACCTTCTGATACATCCATAAAACCGACAAGCACGCGGTTTAACAATAACTTTTTATGGAACAGCGGATACGCTGCAAGAAGTACAGCTTCCTGTAATCTCCACGGAGGAGTGTCGAAGGAAGACGCTGTTTCTTCCCTTGTACAGGATCACGTCGGGAATGCTTTGCGCAGGATTGAAGGATGGTGGAAGAGATGCTTGTTTGGGAGACAGCGGTGGACCTCTGGTTTGCTCGGGATCGGACAACACGTACACTCTTCATGGTAAACACGCACACTCTGATAACACTGAAGATCAGAAAAGATTCGTGTTATTAAAAACTTGATAAATATAGAGAGTACCATTATTCGTGTAACTTTTTACTTCAGGTATCACTTCGAACGGTTATGGTTGCGCCAGACCCGGAAGACCGGGAGTCTACACGAAAGTCCATCATTATCTTCCTTGGATCGAGCACACGTTCTCGAGCGAGGACATTCGATCGTCGATAGTGTCCTGCAAGGGACATCGATGTCCCCTCGGTGAATGTCTGCCAAAATCACGAGTATGCAACGGATTTTTAGAATGCTCGGACGGTAGCGACGAACGTAATTGTCCTGTTAATTTTTAACACGTCGTGTCCAATGGCGGGCATCGATCTTCGCCATTTAGTCTTTCCGTTCAAGGCCCTCGTGCACTTGAAACGCTTACCATCGATAAACGCAGATACTTGGAAACATTCGAATACCAATTTACGTAATTCGGAATACTGTAAAATAATAAGTACACCGTCGAAGTATCGAATGTTTCTAGTTTTCTGGACGAATCAAAACGGAAAGACACCGAACGTGTTAACGAAAAAAAGACTGATGGTATTTGTACACGCGTCGGGCAAACGAATTAATTAATTAAACGAGTTTAAGAATCCGCGTGTCTGCTCGCTGGCAACGAAACCGTAGTTGGCTGAAAATCAATTGGCCGCTCAACTTAAACATAGGAGAAAAGTAGTTCTGCCTAGCACGATTCACGGTTGGGGAAACGATCTTGAGCAACCAATTAATTTTATCCTAACGATAATCCGTTTGCCGCAATCAGACGCGAGGATCAATGAGTTTTTGAATAAAAAGCAAAACACGAGACATACACAAGCACTGAAAGAAACTGTTTGAATTTTCACCGTGTCTTTACGAACACTTCTGTAAAATATAAAAATGTTCGTTGATTTGATATATGTATAGATAGAAATCGAGAACTGAAGACAAATGTTACAAAATATATTGAACATCCGTACAAGCTGTTGAAAGTTTCAAGTATTAATGATTAACTAAGAAGTATAATCTTCTGTGCAATTATCAATGCGTTTGATTGTTAATATTAATGCGTTAGAATCATAGAAGTAAATCGACTAATGGCAACCATTAGATTATTCACGGCATTATTTGTTCAATCATTCGTACGACTCAGACGTACTTAGCGTAGACATATTTAGACGAACCTGGCATTCTGATTCTTTGTAGTTGCAAAACGAATCTCAAGGCCACGTATATCGTGCTCACTACTTTAGTCTCTTCGTAAGTTCAAAGGTTTTTAACATAATGTGTATATATCGTGTCTAATGTATTATGTAAAAAATCTTTTGATGCCAATAAATAAGAATTTTTAGAAAACAATATCTATGGGTGCGTACCTTTCTCTCTGAAACAACGCTGTTAAATCGTTCGTCGGTTTCTGAAAAATACAAATATAACACAACGATAGTTTAGGTGGTATATCATTTCCTTTTATTAGGACAATTAGAAATAGCACTGAAAATCATATTCGGAAATAAATATTGGTTACTTTCGTTATAATACTCTATCGATATTAAAATGAAAGCTGTTAAAGATTACTGTATTAAAGACAGTACGATCCTTGGAGTAAATAATCCCGGTGAAATAATCATCGTTCCGTAATTAAACAGATTTAATACCATAGAAACGATAGAAAAGTCGCATCGTTCGGGTTTGCTTGTCTCTTCGGTAAAAAGGATCGAACTGCTGGACTCGTTATTACCCTAAACGATCTTGTCATTCTAAATCGTGCCTCCTTTAAGTAGTTCTAATATTAGATTATACCTACGATTAGCACAATATACCAAGTGGTAAAAATCACAATGTAATTTACGTCACGTTCAAACAGCACGCATTTGAAATTCAATATCGAGTTCACAATTTCCTTATTGTTCAAGGTATTTGCCCCCTTAACGGCTGAACCATCAAGACTTTTGCACAACCATTTTGATCGTTTCAATTTACACGTATCACTCAACGAACGTACCAAGAGTTTCTAAAATTCTCGAATTCACGCGCGATGAATCGGATGTTATACATAAAATAAATTCAATATTCAATTCTATTTACATATCACGAACGTTCATAGATTCGGAAGACTCGTGAACTGAATTGCTCAAGCTTTAAAGTCGTCATAGCGAATTAAGGATACGACATCTACAAACATTAATCAATTTGTTCAGAATGAATGTAATCACGTGCGATGTAACTGATAAGGGGTTCGCAATGAACAGAATTATTTGCTGCAAAAGTCTAGAGGTAATGTATCGACCTACTGATATGACGTCCCTAACACTTTCTAAATGGCTCATGAATGTTCCTTGATTCTATACTCTCAGATGTGTACGTGCGATACTCGCTCTCCCCTCGTCCACTAAAACAATTCAGTGGCAATTCCTTGGCGAGTTGACTGCAACCTTGAAGCGACCGGGTTTGGGCAAAAGTTCGATCACAATAAAAAATGGTGTAAATGTATAAAAGTGCGATTCGAAGGTAGCAAAACTTTTGTCCATACCTATTCTTAATCCAACCTACAGCCTCCTTTTATCTCCACGCCAACGTGCGTAATAACGTTTCGTGAAGAGTATCGATTCTACTATTTGAACACCTGCTTGACGAATCACAATTACTAGAGATCTAATCGGTCCTATATTACAAAATATTAAGCAACAATTTATCAAATGTCCGCGTACGTGAATTTGACAAGACTCGTTTTATCAAGCATCATTTTTCGCTTGACTCCAATTTCCATCCGAATAAAATCGATGATCCCCACGAAATGTACAAATACATCGAAAGAGACAGGGCTATAACGTCGAAATGTTATTTAATCGATTTATCTAATTCGATTCTATATCTCTGAAAACGACATAGGATCGCAGATCTATGCGCGAGGATGAAACTATTCTTTTCTATTTATTCGCCCTTCTCCCGATACTTAAATTAATTAAAGAAGCAATAAATAATAAATCGATGAATCCTCTGAAGATGATACCTCTAATGAGCCGTACTCTTAGACAGACGTTAACTTTAGGCTATGAGTAGTTGATTTTTCTTATGTTTTAACCCAATAGATCGATCGCGATGGTACTAAGACCTTTTGGACTAATAGTTGTTTTGAATTGCTCCGGCACAGGATACTCTGCCTGAAAACCCCCCCCAAAAAATACAACGTATAAATATACCAGAGTAGATGAAAACCGTACAATTGATGCGATTGATATCGTAAACAGCTTACATAATCCCCGTTGGCTTTTGGTACCATGACGTTCATTTCGCTAGACTTGCTGCTAATAACTTCTACGTCCATTGATTCGGAGCTCAGATACATCTGGCAACCGTCTGTTTTGTCGATGGAAATGGTAGGCACCTTTCCCAGTACCTGTGATCACAGAAAGACAAAAGAAACGAATTTATTTTACGGTAATTAACACCATCCACCAAAAATAGAATGTCTCAACTTCTTATCTGAAACACTCTGTACGCGATATCGATATTTTCGCTTTCTACATCGAAAAAGAACAACTGCCAGTCGCAGTATCTCTTGACTTTTCACGTTTCACGCAGTACATATTCTAAATAATAGTGGATACGTGTTGATGGCTTCTTAAAACCTACAGTTGTGTCTAAAACACCTCTCGTCAAGATGCATTGGCAGTTCGGTAAGATTTCGCTGACGTTCGTTACGAAATAAAAATTAATTACTCTCGTTTCGAGCGAACCTAAACGTGGCCTCGGTAATCATGTGTATCTAGGCGGAAATTTTGAACCTGTGCAAATGATCTGCGAAGTCGACTGGAGAGAATGCCCAAAAGCAATTGCAAATTACATTTGGAGTGAGATTGTGACCGACGTTCTCGACTGCTTGAAGAACGAGGAGATAGTCTGGCGGGTACAGAGAATTATTATTTTTCAGTTGTAATGAGTATCGAATTAGAGGTCTATGAACATAGCGATCGGGTAAGTTCTTCCTGAAACTGATTTCGCTTCTTCTATCTGAACGCTATGTTCACGATTAGCCCCTTCGAAAAGCAAACGCGAAAAGAAACTATTATCTTGCGTCGAGCATATTTCACTGATCGAATCAATAATATTTCAAGATCCTCGCCGTGTCCTTTGTCTGCACCATATTGTTGCGTCTGATGTTCTCCAAGACGAAACACGTGGACGATACTGTAGTTGAAAATGAGATTATCAACAAAGTCGGTTACAAAGTGGAGGACCTCGAGCTGAAAGTTAATATACTGACCTATAAAATGCAGTACGGTGCTTGGCCATTGCCTCATCAAATTCATAAATCGAACTTCAGAAAGAACCTGCGAAATCTCCGGCTGACCCTATCCAATCCCAACGACCGTAACGACTGGATAAAACACGTGTTATTAAGGTAACGAAAGAGCTACGAAAAGAAGGAGAGCTTCCACTTTATCGAAACGTTGTGTCGTTTTTTAGCCCAAGACGAAAAGAGTCGTACGTTTCGTGCCCGAAATATAATTATCCATCCGGATACCGTCTGACGGAACTGTTCGACGCGAAAACGAAAACCACGTATCCGTACTTTCGACGCGACGCTCTGCCATTGGAACGCAGCAGTAAATCTTCGAAAAGCAGCAGCGAGATAAAGTACAATTACACGCTCTAAATACGACGCTCGTAAATGTCATCGATATTCTAAGCTGGTTGTGCTTACAGGCTAAATTCCGTGTTTAAGAGGGCGAACGGTCGTAAGCAGCGCAAAGTGTCGAAAAGCGAACACTTCGATGCACAGAGCAGAAACGCGTTATCGTCCGCGCTCTGTTCGAGGGACAGGACCGCCAAATCGACAAGCAACATCAATAAGAATACAAAAGCGTTCAGAACGGACAAAATGACCGGTGCTTGCAAAAAATTCACTAAAACCATGGACGAGTGCAAACGGTATTTAAAAGAGTTACACGATAGCGACAAAAATCTAGGATTGGTCTGCAGTTCTTCCGAGCTCAGCGACGAGTCTTTGATGAAAAATGTTTGGCCAAAAACGCAGGTAAATATGAATGATGATGTAACAACTATTATGTCACTATCGACGATCTATACGATTATGTTGCAGCAGCGAATGTGTACCCAAGAGAACGATTTGGTCGATGAACAATCTGAAAAAAACGAAGAAAATGAGAAAGGAACGGATTTGAAAGTAACAGATTCGATGCAACGGAGCAAGGAAAATTATTTGGAGCTATCGAACGCAGTTTATCCGGTTTTAAAGTTAATCGACCAACGCTTGAGGCCTTCGAAAATGAATATAACATTCTGCACCGACGTGTTTCCGCGGCAATCGGTCTCGAGTATGTTGGTACCACAACCGTGCGAACGGAAGAAATTCATAGAAACGTCTCAAGAAACTCTGTACCAAGTGAAGAAGAAGCTGGAAAGTTTGCACGACGTGTTGCGAACGTACGAGATACAAAATCCTGACGCGCGGGGGAAAGACGGACAACATGAGGGTAGCAAGAACATAAATAACATTTGTCAGAATGTCATGAATACGCTTGTATCGGCCACGACGGAGGCCAACAATTGGAACGAAAAGAGAAGTAGAGTATGTTTTGATGCCGATGCCAGGATAAATCCCGATGAAATGCAACAAACGATCTACATCAGCTCGGAACAATACGAGAGTGACGACACGATTAAAAGTTCCGACTTGTCCATTCAAAATTATTGCACCATGTTCAACGCGTGTTGTCCACGAAACATAAACGAGCTTAATTGGTCGCTATTGAAGAAATCGGAGAATAAAATATGTTCTCTGAGCAATCAGAAGTTCGATGCAGTCGAGGATAATGGATGCCCCTTCGCCATTAAATACGATAAAGTTCCTGAGCGAATATATTACACCATTTCGTCCGACCTGTTCAAAGAAAAAGATATTAATAGGGAAACGACTGTAACTGAGAATTGTACGTTACCAAACATGTGCACTGAGAACTTCAATCAGCATGCTGTACCAATGGAAACCGACGAAGATTTGATAATACTGTCGCCAACGTCGAGCCGTACTGAAATGTCAAGAGACAGTGAATCTGATGATAAGTCCACGTCATTGTTACTTCAAGAAGCTTTGCAATTCAAAAAGGCACTACTGACGCGCGTTGAACTCGAAAAGGTATGTTGCATCGATGACACAAAAGAAAATATAAACAGCGAATCAGAATACAGTAAATGTTCTTACATTAATAATAATCTTCAGTCTAACTTTTTGGATATAATATCAGAGGAACAGTCTGTTAGTAGCTCCACCGACAGAACTAGTCATACTTACATGTTTCTCAATGTAAAACAGAATAAACAATCAGCACGTTCAACAATAGGGAATCATATAACAGATCTTACATACCAAACTGCGATCAACGATCAGAATGGATGTAGAGAATATTTTGAATCGAATCAAAACCTTTGTTCCCCTTCTGAATATTTCAGTTTCAGTAATATGCCTCAAAAGGAGAACGAAATTAACGCTGACAACTGTTTACAAGGAAACGAAGCTGCTGAAACGGTTCCAAATAATTTACAAATAAAACATTTGAATCATACTAAAGATAACTCTGATGAAAGACTTATGGATATGAAATTTACAAACTGTTTAAAGCATGTAGAAACGAATATAAGTAAACACGAAACACGCAATAATGAGATGGATGAAAGAGAGAACTCTGAAACGCATTACTTACGTATGAATAATACAAATGAGATTATAAATCGTAACGTTAGTAGCGTGGAACTGTTTTCACAAAATTTAAATGAAACTCTGTTCGACGAGGAGAATCAGAATCCAAATAAAAACGAAGGTTGTAATTTTTTAGATCCTGAATCTCTGAAACAGTGTGCAGACGTGTCATCCATGAAAAATGCAGAAGATGATTTTGTGAATACAAAATTTAATTTATCAGACGATGAGAAGTACATCGAAGACAATGAGATTTTAATGTCCAGTCCAAATTTTAGTTTGAAAAGACACCCTGGGGCATGTTCACTCATCGAGCAAACCCTAATAACAACAAGTACTGAAAATGCAGCAGAAATGGATATGATGCTAGAAAATGTGGATGCAATATATGAATTATCACCCTCTGAAAGTAAAGAAAACTCAATTGAAACAAATCTAATACAGGATTCCTTAACATCCAGTACAAATAATCACTCGAATAGCTCTAACATTCCAGAACCTCCATCTGTAACTGTAATGATTAATAAATCAGAGAATGAAGAAGAGTTCAATTTAAATTGGTCAAATATCAAAAGTAATTACAGTAATGATTACGTTGACGAAAAAGACGCACACACGATTTCAACAAACACGATAACCCTTCAAAAATATGATTGCATAGATATGGAGAATTATGACAAACACAAGCTAACATGCAATGATGATACACCATCGATGGAAAAACACAAGGAAACAGGAATTCATTGTGACCAAGATGACGCACTGAAAGATGAACAGAATAATTCAGATATAAGAAACTCGTTAATAAATCTGGATAAAGAAAATTTAATTGACGAGGCAGACTATAAATCTTATTCCAACCTCGTTTCTCCGCATAGTAGTTTATATTTCACTGACGAAGCTTCCAGTTCTATCGCAAAATTAAATAATACACGCTCAAACCATTTTGACGATTATTTACATTCGAATTCAAACATACAAACTTCAAAAGACACTACAAATGCCGATTTACTATCTATTTCGCAAGATATCGATGAAAAATTATCAAATTCTGAAAATGTACCACTATTTAAGGAAACAGAACAAACATCAAGAAAAGAAAATGAAATCTTAAATGATAACATCTCAATTTCGTACATCGATACCAATAATCATACCTTACTATCACCAAAAGATATGAATGCCGGTGATAAAGCACAATCCAATTTCTTAGTAAATAAATCAAACATATTAAATGAAGACCAAGACGCGTTCATGACAAACACATTATCGTGTCAAATTTCTCCAAGGGATGCAAGAGACAATATGATATTGAAAAGATTGAATAGAACAATGAAGTCAAGGAGTCAAGAAAATTACACTTCAAGAATTGAAAAGCTACAAAAACCAATTGCTCCGCAAAATATAATAGGTTTAAAATCTGATTTGGTAGATACTGTCCACGTCAAAGCAAAAAGTAATACAACTCCAAAACACGTAAAAGTCAGAGATTTATCCGTTGAGTCTAGACGTAATGCAGAATGTCACATTAAGTTGGATAAAAAACAGTCTCTGTCGCAAATCAGTTTTCGATCAAAGAAATCTGCAAAACATGTTACTTCACAGTCATATGAATCCCCGAGCAATGCAAACACAATAAATTACACTCACTCTTTAGAAACTAAATTAAAAAGTCATGGGAAACCAATGCTACCAATACCTAAAACCTCTTCAAAATCTTGCATACCAGTTCTAAAAAGTCGATTAGAAGCAGCGCGACGATCAGATAATGAAACAAGATCTAAGAGTCCAATGAGAGGACCGCTAACAATGACTATGCTTTGGAAGGATGATTTGTGTAGTAAAAGCCAAAATACAATGGAAGAATCTATCAAGATAGAAGGCAAATCAGAAAATAATGAAGAATATGCGGTAGAAAACAGCAACTGCGACAAAAGTATAGACGATAATCAAAACCATACTGGCAAGCAAGATTTGATAAAAGCATCATATACTCTAGAAAATTTAAGTGAAAATACTGACAGTAACAATACTCCACCAGAACAAATGGTAATATATGTTAACATATACACAAAATATGATCAAAACACGACGAAGATAGTAGATCCGAACAAGTTTTTAGAATATATTGAAAACAGAGAGTTAAACCTACAAAAAGAGACCAAAGGAAATCAATCTAACAAAATAGATGTAGAATTTTCAACAGACTCTATAGAAAAGGAAAAAAGTATAATGCACAAAATTGTTACCATCGTTTCTTCTGTCATAAATGGTAATGAGTTGGATCAAAATGTATCGTCCGAATTACCTGCACGAGTAATGAAAAATGATTCATTCACCAGCGCCAAGTTAAAACATTTATGTTTCCTTTCCGTTGAGCAAAGGGAAATAGATGTCACTGCCAAACCATCCGTAATCGATACAAGTACATCAATGTCGGATTTAGAAAAGGTTTCAGGTACATCGGAAAATGTATTAAATAAGTTTCAAATATGTGGTACACCTAAAGAGTTAAACAATGACGAATACATAGCATTCCTAGAAATTCTTCATCAAGAGCCAAACACTGTACATCTACAAGAATTACAAAACGTCTGCAAGAAACTTGTATCAGAATATAAAAAAAAATAAGTAATACTCGATCATAAATAGTACTTATTGTCTGCGTTTATAAAATTCCTTATTATCAGAACAATATTTTTATAATATCGGGCTTTTATTTTCTAATACAGGGCATGTACTTTATGTAATTATATTATGTATATATCTACACATTTCGTAATAAAGTTATTTTTTACACGACATTTGATCCAAGATGTAGGACGTGAATCATTTTCCATTTTTAGTAAAAAATAAACAACATACCTGCATTTGGACGCTCTGACAGTTGACGAATTCGATGCTTGCCACAACAGAGTCGAACACGACAGACGATTTACGACATGAATCCATAACCACAGAGTTGACTTTGCCTTTAACGACTAAGGTACTGTCTTGACATCGGAACATATAAATCACATTATTCATCTCAACGTTATCGACGAGCAAATCTTTATTTCCTTTATGGTATTCCTACAAAACAAATAAAATACAAATTTTGCGAATAAAATTAATGTTTTACAAATACAGAACAGAGGGTGTTATACCGCGTATTACTTACTATAAGCCATTTCTTTCCATCTTTAGTAAATACAGGTGGTTTGTCAATGGGTGCACTTGCAGGTGGTACGATTTTTGATGGTATAACATTATCAACTACCGGTGCTTTAAATGGCGCTGGACCAGTCCTCAATGAAGGATTCTTATGTGTCTGCATCTCGGAAGTGACTTTCTTTAAGTCTGTAAAATAAGATGTACCAATTAATAAAATTTTCTAATTACTGTTTTATTAGTATTTTATAACTATAGTACACTCACTCTTTGTAATAGCTTCTCCCTGATTAATTTCGGCGAAAAGAGCACTTCTGTCATCGGCAATACTGACTGGTGCTACATCTCCAATAGGCATGCATGGTGGTGGAGGTGGTGGTATGCCTACCGGTGCAGAGCCAGTTTTTGCCCATACCAATCCTGTTGTATGATGTTGACGTACGTATTGCTGAAGATCGCTCAGCGTTTGAACCCAAGCCTTGCACCATTCAGCATGTACTTTATTTCTGTAATAATAATAATGGCGAAACGTTTGATTTATTGTTATTTTTTAACAGTTTGCAATACGAACTTACTTCTCCTTCCAATCTTTTAATACACGGTTAGTATAAAATTGTCCAGCGTCGTTCATCTCTTTTACATAGGGTGCTGGTGTAGGTGATACAGCAACCCATCCTAGAGCTGGAATACTTTCACTAATTGCTGATAAATGATTAAAAAATTGAGATCCTCTATTTTTCTCGCGGAAGTCTTGAATCTGTTGAATTTGTGTAGATGTAGGTCCAAGAAGAGCAACTTGCTCTGATTGATTTACTGGGGATGGGCGACTTGCTGCGGTTCGAATAAATTCCAATTGAATTCTATAAAAGGAATGAAAATAATTAGCGATTATATTCAACGTTTAAAATAAAATTATAATGAGATGCTTACTGAAATGCCTTTTCTACAAGCTTGCTGTGAGTGGCTACATCACTGCCAATTTTCTCACTCAGCTTCAAGTATTCTCTTACAGGACCGGCCAAAAGATCTTCATAGCCTGCCACTGACATGCTGACAAATTTGTCTGATGCTGGTTTATGTAGAGATTGAGTAGGTGAGGCAGACTGTATAGATGCACTGCTTCCAACTAACTGTGACTTCTTTGGAGATGGTGTACTTGTTTGAACAGCAGAGTCTTGAGTTTCAGTTATAGAATGAGTCCGTACTTTCTCCAGTCGCTTGGTAACAGTCTCCAATCGATTTACCAATTCTTCTAAGTGATCTTCCTTATCACTAGCTTCGCAGCCTTTAATATAATTAAAAATTAACAAGTTATTGTATATGAAATATTTCAATTCTCATGAAAGTACTTTTAACATTTTAATAAAAGAAAACAGAATCTGTTTTTATTTTAAATCTTTAATCGTGAAATAAATCTTTCAATAATTAGAGAAAATATATGCACATTCGCATTTATGTCGACTACATTAAATATAGAATGAGTGTATAAATAGATGTATCAAGATCCACAGCCACTAGATCATTATGTTGTAAGCAGTGTCTAAAAGAAATAAAATCGTGTTTTCTTTCAACTGTTAAAAATATTCGTGAAAATTAAATTCAAAACAACTATAATTGCCCATTATAGTTGCATTCAAAAAGACTCTATAGGCAGACTCTTTGTATTGCTTCTATTATTACTGGTTTAAAAATAAGAAGAATCAAGTTCAAAAATATAAAAATAGAACATTAATTTGATTTATATCATAGAAAAATTGTTTAGATCTACAATTAAATTTAGAGCAATAGGCAATAGACAATGTAAATAATTCATTACTGCTGCTTTAATTCCGATCCAATAGTACGTAAATTTTAAAATCACACTTCATTCAGTTATTCGTTCACTTTATCGAAAATTATTTCTACTGGAACAAACGTTTGTGTGCGCGAGACCTTCTCGACTTTTCAGAAACTGGTGAAGAACTAAACCACAGTTCTAATGATGTTCGACGCGATATATGCCGGCCTATTCTTAGGAAAACTGCGAAAACTGAATCGCGAGTTATATGTACGTGGCTTACAAACTCTGCGTAGGTAGATACTATTTTGTATGGAGGACCTTGCGTGTTTACAGATATTCAATGCATAAAAAATTCTTTATACATTGATATTCCACATATACCTAGCAATCAAGTGTTAAATATTTTGAGATGGTTCATTTATGTGTATAAAATTACCAAGTTCTATATTTTATACGCACAATAAGGAAAAAGAATTTCTTTAAAAAAATTACAAATTATCGTAACGTAATCAACACGTCACTCGACGTATAAGGGTTGTCAAATAGTACACCGAGGTGAAAGGTAAATGGGTCACGGTGTAAAAATAGAACAAGGACGAAAAATAATGTATAAAACAGCGAAACGTTTCGATGCTGCCGAGTTCCTTGTCATAACTCCAAAACAAATAATTCCAGATATACATTACATACAAAATATATTTAACAGATAACAAAGCCATTATCGCGACACTATAGCAATGCTGTCCAACATGAGCCATTTAGCACAGGACGTTGACTGATGTTACGTTATCGCGTCACGTCCAAACACAATACCAAATCAAACCATGTAAGGGACAGCATTGTTCTACAGTATATTGGATCATTGGTAAAACAAAGTGTACGTTAGTCCAGCTATACGCGGTGTATTCAAGCTCGAGAAATTAGTTTCGATAAAGATTATAGAAAGTAAGAAATGGATTATGGGTGAGCCCTAACCGGCGTGCACCATCGGTCCTAGTGGGTCAAACCTCACTCTGTGCTCCGACGCATTTTGTGCGGCGTGCAATAAATCGGAGAAGAATCTGTGTCGTCTTAAAGCTAGTTCGTCGCGGGCGACCGGCGTCGCTGGTGGTTCTTGCATGCCACTGCACTCTTCTGAATCATGATCGTCCTCCTCCGATAGCCAACGGGGAACTGACGGAACTGCGCATCATACACCCGAATATAGACACCTTGTCCACATTAAATCGTCCATTATATGCAATTTTCGTATTCACGATCGAGAATAATTCAACTAGTTGGACAGAAGAGAGAATCGACTTAAGAAACCCCCCCACCATTTATCCAAATATGGAAATCACTTTGTTGGACGATGACTAACGATGAGATTAATCATATCGCAAGTACTGGTAAGCGCCAAGTGCTAAGTGTTCGTGTAATTAAAAAACAAATAAAGGTGGGAGTGTATGTGTACGAGTCATAAAACGAACAACCAAATAAGGCCATATTTCTGGGCTGGGTGTCCTGCATGGAATTTCAAAAAGTCGATTCTTTCTACGGCCAGATTGTAATGAAATACATTACACAAACACGAGAACAATAACGTAGATCGCATTACTAGGAGCACTAATACATATTAAACACGGTAATGCGATTAGCGTCAAAGGCAATTTCCATTATGCTCTTAATGAACTTTGGCCCGGTGAAACATTATTATTATCGTCAAAGAAATTTGATTACACTGAAATACTGTTCCGAAATGGTACGCGTGTAAATAAAGAGCCAGGAAAAGTAAGAAAATTGCACACATGAAACAATTTATGAAAACAGAAAGGACAAAAATACTGCATCAATAAAAATATACCTGGCGTCGTCTTTTTATTAGCATTGTCATTCGGACAGGCTTCGAAAACGGAATCGTCGCCTTCTTCTTCTGGTCCATCATCGATCGTTCTCTCGATATACGCGGTAGAAGAATCGTAAAGATTCGTTTTAACAATGGTAGGAACACCGGTATTCAGTATTACCTGCATTAACCCAACCCCGACGCCCCCGTCACCAATCCCGCTCGTATTATCACATCCATTTACTTCTGCACTTCCACTCGCATCTTTGATTCCATTTTCCTCTTCCCTTTTGTTCTCTTCCGTTCCATCGGTCGCATTTTTAGCATCATCGTCTTCCTCTTTGTTCGATTCTACAATCGATTCCTTTCTCAGTCGAGAACCATCGATTTCATCGCGTTTACCGGATGGCAACGGACTCTTGACAGTCAAGTCATCGACTACTTCCGCGGAGCAATTCTCCATAGATGGAGAAACTTTCTCCGATCTCTGTACGTCGCCGTTCAGCTTTTCTTCTCGTCCGATTGGCCCGTCCTCCTCAACTTTAGCAACTACCTGCGGGTCTATCGCTTTCTGACTTTGCTTCGTCACATCGCCGTTCGTCTTCTCCTTCTTCGCGCTCTTATTGCAAACACAGCATTTAAACATCGTCAATATCGATTATGGATTTCCTTCGTATCAGCAAACGCTTGCCGTGGCTTTTAGTCTTAACTTCGGAGGTTTTAAAAGTAATAGCCTTACGTTTGGGGTTAGGTGTATTCCAATATCGATCTAGTTCGTTCTGTATCGCGACTACTATCGATCCGTCAGACCGGAAATGATCGATGTGTGTAAAACGCGCGTTAAAAATTCGGTAAAATATATCGTACGTTTCAACGAGAGAAATATAATTTCGGAAATATATACAAGACTTAGGGTGTAACAATGTAAAATATCAACTATGAATTCAGAGTGCGGTGTTGATTTATGGATTAAATATTATAATTTTTAACAATCAGAGTTGAAAAACGCTTCTTAGTATGTAACGATTATCGAGTCGGAATATGAAAAGTAGCAACGAGTAAAAACGCTTTAATATTTAGACTCAAGTTCAGCACAGACCTCTCACAGCCGAAGAAACCGGTACTTGAATATTTTAGGTTGAGCACGCGTTCTAGCTAGTCCTTCGTAGGCAGCGGAACTTGACGATCAAATATTCTATTCCAAGTGAATTTCCCACGGGAATCACGCACTATAAATTGTTCAGCATACAAACGAACTTCAATTACATTTACTCACAGCCAGTTCGTATGTTTACGGTCAGCGTTCGTTGACATTGTAAACTCCTATTGCACACCCAATAAAACGATGTTAGGTTAAGTAATTAACGCATATTATTTCCTCTTTCTATTAAAAACATGGAGCATGTAGTATTAACAGGCAACGTATACTGAAGAAACCATGTTTACCGCTACTTCTGAGACAACAGAGATAAAACTGATTCAATTGTTTCAACAATCAAGATGTCCTTTTTAACTGTCACGAACAAGCAGCAGTTTTTGATAACGCTTTAATAATATTTCAATGAACTATCGTAAAAATCACATAACGTTTTAAGAAACTGTAACTTCTCTCGATAACGCAATGATCGATTTCAATTACGTGCAAGTTTACATTACCGAGATTAATCCGATGGCAGAAATGGGCGTTGCACGTTAACCGAGTTTTCACTCTATACAGACACGATCGTAAAATTGCAATTACATGCGTTCGTCTTGAAACAGCAAATATTGTGTTTTCATCTTCTAACGGCTTCCAATTACGATTAACGGAAAACACGGACAAGATGAAATTTTCGTCGGACAGCAAATACACGCCCTTCCTAACGGCAACGATACACCCCTACAAACGTAAACCGTGACCACGTTTCTCATAATCGCACAGGAAAAGCTGGAGACTCGATATAACTTGCAATGAGTCAATAGATAAACACGCACACGTATACATCAGAAGCACATGCCATTACCGTATATGCAGGTAATGTATGTAGCAAAGTTACGTACGTTGATACGGTGACGAGCAAAAATATGAATGAACGAATACCCAATCATTAAAAAAACATTGCATACATTCATTTACCGTGAATCACTTCTGTTGATTCGACTATAAATAGTTTAAACGACTATGTAAATTAACACCGTCCCAGTATCAATTACTGGTATTATACTTCAACAATAAATCAAACACTACGCAAAACATACGCTAACACGCGTTCCAAATTATTTGGTACGCTTCTAAATTATCAATGCGATGTCATTCAATTTCGTTGTACGGATTAATGTGTTTGGGTCCTCGAATAATTCCCAAATGTTTCGAACCAGACGAACATGTCCACCCTCGATAATTCCGGCCTAACTGGCACTTGACAACTGCGTGAATTCGAACTGATACACAAATGGAAAATTTTAATTCAATTACGAGACCCGTGAGGGTGGAGTTTCTGTCCTCAAAAACAGCCTACTTTGGAAGCAACCGGCGCAATACTCTACCGCTTCTGGTTTCGACCGGCACACTGCGGTGCTGCCACAGTGGTCGAGACCCGAAATTGTTGCAAGTTCCTTAGGTAGGAGCCACGTGCACCCATAGGACTTTCGAAATACGACTTCGTTTCTAACAGGACTACAGAACTTTGAATTCTCTTTCCTCGTCGCTATTAAACAAATTCTATAAATCACTTAACTTATAATTCACACTTTAGATACGTTCATCAACATCAACCAATATAAAGACAACAGTAATATTATTGCCCATGCATTATTGCTCAAATTAATCATAAATCAGAAACGGAGGTCCGTTATATGTAATTCTACACGTACATGTTAATTCTAGAATTTAAAAAATATGTAACATATACTTGTGTTCATAACAAACACGTCTATAAATATATTTTACTTATTATCAGTCTTCACATTGCACTGATAAGTCACTTGTACTGATAATGATAAATGATATGTAATATTTATCAAAAAACTTTGTTGTGATGTAAGCATATCGTCTATAGAGCATAAATAATACAATGAATAATTTAGAATACTATAAATTACAACGTGAATACACAATTTACGACACAATATTTAATTAAGTTTGCACATTACGTATATTCTAGATACGCGATATTAATACAAATTTAAAGATTATAATTTTAAGTAATAATTATAGAATTTTTAAATCCGTGTGAAAATTTATAACAAATAGTCGAACATTTGGAAAATGTTGCAGAACTTTCATCTGAATTTCTTATCATCGCGCACACACACTTAAGTTATCAGTATTTTAAATTTTATAATCAGCTTTACTCGTATCTATATTATTACTATCTTAAACTTATTTTTATAAAACAACGAAAGTGTTCTTAACTCATATATAAACATTATCTTGAATCATTTTTCATATAAAAAAAGAAATCACTTGGTACTCACGATTTTTCCACATATTTAAAACCTTTTTGTAAGCACCTGGTACCATCAGAGAATCGTTCTGTGCGATTTTACGAACTTCGGACATATTAAAAAATCTATCTTTTCGTTAACAGTTACGCGGATAATTAAAAAAAAGACTACATAAAATCTAAAGAATAGTACGTTCGATGTGTAACTGATGAATGATGATAACGGACTCACTTCGTCAGCTTTCACGATGGAATTTTAATCTCGCGTCAGAATCACAGGACCGTGTCATATAACCAACCTAATAGTAAAAAATCTCAGCAACGAAATTTTAAACTTCTAATTAAACGAACGTGAAATTATATGACTAAAACGATAGCTTTAAACAAAGAGAATTATATATACTTTTATAATTTTGTATATTTTTTCATACCGTACAATAAATTTTCTTAATTAAATTTTGTATTATAAATTCGTATATCCTTTATGTTCGTATATTATCGAAAGACAATTAAAACAACTTTGCTTTAAAAAATGTCATTTATGAACATGGAAAGTAGAGAATGAAAATCTTTGTTTCTACGATACGTATAGATACATACTTCAATGGTATATATACTTTACTTAATCGGATTTCGTATATTTATTCAATATTACGAGGCATCAAGATTCGTTACCAGGTGTCAAGTGTCAGGTGCAGCATAGTATGACTCACAGTCAAAACGCAGCAGGAGGTATAAACTGCACACGTATAACCATGTTCATAACCAAACTAAATACTCCCTTGTATCTTTTAATAAAAAGAACTACAGTTCTAATTTTTTCACTCGCCTAATCGAATATATTACACGCCTCGTGTATATACATGTGTAACGTCAAAGTATGAATAATGTGAACTACGATAACTAGTAAATAGTAAAATGTTTTCAGGAAAGTTGATATACACCTAGCGGCTATGGTGTGTGTGTTAATAATTATTATGCGAAATATGTGCACTTACTCACCAATATGAAGCCTCGCTGAAGTTCAGCAACATGTATGCTGTCACTTTGTGACAATTGACTCAACAACAACACAACAAACACGATACACAAGTGATAAGAATTCAATCTGACAACATTACTACACTGGGGCGTTTGCCGGATACCGGAAGTACTACTCTTGCTATTATAAGAGCTTAGAATTGTTAACTGCACATGCGCTTACATTTAAGCGCATTACCTTCAAAAGAAACGCATCCATTCCTTGCATTATTCCTTTAAAAATCTAAAATCATCGAATGAATAAGATTCAAGAAGAAACAGCTTTACTGCGTAATAGATCAATAAAGTTGTAACGATTTACGTTCTTGAACGATTTTAAATTTAGTGTTATATTTTTTAGTAGAAAACTATAATTCAATCGACAGAGTATAATTACACGTATAATAACACTTCCACAGAGATCTTTTGTGTCTGTATCCTCTGAACTTAAACGTAAAAATATATTATAAAGTAATGCTTTGAATGTTCCTTACTGATCCATATACTGTTTAGTGCTGCCATCTAGTTCTGCAGTCAAACAAAGTGACTGCAGTAATTATGCTGAGTCACAATAAATTTATCTAATATTTAAGTCTTTTTCTTTAATAATATTCCTTATCGTAAAGTTATTCATGGTTTCCTAGTATTTTGTAACAGTAACCTATAATTATAGTATAATTATTGATACCACATATGCATCTGTTTTAAACTTATAATATATGATTTTTGAGAATACAAACTTTACTACAACTTTAAACTTTACAACTTTGCTGAAAAAATAATATACCTTAATATAAAGTGATTGATTTTGTTGATTTACAACGAATTTAAAACAGGGTACGTAAAATATCACAAACAAAATCATGAGCACAAAATTCATATTTATTGAATCAATGGAAATTTTAAACATAATACCTCAATATCACACACTGCTAGGCACGTTCTTGATTCTTTGGCTTGCTTGGTTTATTGCTAATAGACATTATAACAGACACGAAAGAGTGCCAACAGAAGATGAAGTTGAAAAGAAACTTGCAGAATGGAAACCTGAGCCATTAATACCTAATCCACAAATAATTCATCCTTCTCTAAATCCAAGATGTGTAACATCTAGAGCTGGAAAAAGAATAATAGTCAATGGTAAAGATTGCTTAAATTTAGGCACACACAATTACTTAGGTTTAATAGAAAATAAAGAGATAGAAAAAACAGCAATAGCAACAGTCAGAAAGTATGGTGTAGGATCTTGCGGCCCACGTGGATTCTATGGCACTGTTGATGTTCATCTTGAATTAGAAGAGCGTTTAGCAAATTATACAGATACAGAAGAAGCTGTTGTATATTCATATGGATTTAGTACAATAGCATCTGCAATAACAGCATATTGTAAGCGCAAAGATCTTATATTTGTTGATCAAAATGTAAATTTTGCCATACAAAAAGGATTAGACGCATCTAAAACTAATGTTAAGTATTTTAAACACAATGATGTGAAAGATCTGCATGATCTATTAAGAAAACAAGCAGAACTTGATGAACAAAATCCTAAAAAAGCATCCAAAATTAAACGCTTTTTAATAGTTGAAGGTATTTATATGAATACTGGAAAGATTTGCCCACTACCACAGTTAATTGAACTTTGTAAAAAATATAAATTAAGAATATTTATTGATGAATCAATATCTTTTGGAACTCTTGGTGCACATGGAAAAGGTGTGACCGAACACTTTGGTATTCCTAGACACGAAATTGACATGATTATGGGTAAGTAGTATCATTAGACATGTATAATAATTGCAGGTAATTATTATTATACGTGAATAATGTATTTATGCAATTTGTAGGATCTTTGGAAACAGCTATAGGATCTATTGGTGGTTTCTGTGTGGGCACATCATTTGTTATTGAACATCATCGTTTATCCGGACTTGGATATTGCTTTTCTGCATCTCTGCCACCTCTTCTGACATCAGCTGCTATTACTTCCCTAGACATTATGAAAAATAATCCACAGATATTCCAATCACTAAAAGCTAATTGCATAATCATAAGTAACGGACTTCTAAACATTCCCTCTTTGGAATGTTCAAGTTGTCCAGAGTCTCCAGTAAAGCATGTCCATCTGCAAGGAAAACTAGATCACAATACAGAAGCAAGATTACTTTCCAAAATCTCTGAAAGATGTATTGAAAATAATTTAGCTGTTATAACTCCTGTCTATTTAGAAGCAGAGAAACATTTAGTCAGGCCTAGTCTTAGACTTTGCATTTCTACTATTCTTGATAACAATGATATTGATTTTGCACTGAATACATTAAAAAAGTGTACTGAGGAAGTTCTATCATTGGAGGAAAATCAAAAACTTTCGAAAACAATGTTCTAAAATTAACAGAAATATTCTACATACATACTATTTATTAACATCCTTGTACAGTTATGCATTTATTGTACAAACGCGAAAAGATCTCCTGATTGTACAAGCAAAGCATTTCTCTATTCTACAAATATTTTATTTTTTATTCAATATCATGTCATATCCAAGCAATTGTGATATGTTTTATATTTAAAAGATTAATTTAACAGTATTTCTGGATATATACATTGTCTTATATTTGACTTTGAAGAAACAAACGAATGCAAAGTACAAAATAGAATATATAAAAACAAGTTTGTTATTTTGTATTTTAACTATTCATAAATTTATTGTTTCACGTATATGCTTTAAAGATACTTGTATGAAATTATATTTAAAATTTACATTACCTAATTTAATATTATGTATCAGTGATGTATAAATATACATATCTTCTGCAAACTGCACTCGACAGAAACGTCATAAGCGATCGCACAAAGTGCTGAAATCTTGTATTCCTTTTCTAAAATATAAATCTCACTTATCTTAATTTTGCCTAAATTGTTTGTCCTATCCTATTTCCCTACTAGATTTATTTTTCGGTAATTTTTTAACGTTTTCAATTACATTTACGTCCACTCGAATTAAACTATCGTAATCATTTGTTTCCCCCAACAACATTGTTTAAATACTAATATATAAGTTTATTTAAATAATTGTATGTAATTTTATATAAAAACTTTAAACTGTGCAGCAGAGCGATTAGAGCGATTTCGCTGGTTAGAGCGATTTATCAAAAAATTGAGTAAACCGTATATTTTGTTCAAATTTAGTTCACATATATACTAGATAATTAAAATAATATACAACTCTATAGTTTTATGAATTAATACACAAGTAATTTTTTGAAATTATGAAAATTTTACAGCATGATGACGCTTTTCCGGTAATATGGCTGATAGGTTTGTAAAATGAAGAAATTGTAACTTCCTGTTTCTTCCCCATTGCATTCACGTAGGTTGCCACGGTAAGTGTATTCTGTTCTACCGTTTATTCAATAAAATAGAAAGTTAACTTACATTCTGTATTCATTAATTGTTTTGTAACATTATATACACTATATTGTATAAATGCAATCGAGAAAATGGGAAATTTATTTTTAATTTTTCAAGAAATTAGTAATAAACAGTTTCTAAGGTTAGCGTGCCATGTGGCCATAACTGAACTGGACTGATAATATAATTTGTATATTATCTTCTGCATAAAATATCGGTGCCCGCTTATGCTTTTTTATTGATATAATGATTCTATATGATGATAAAATAATACGTCTGATAATTCCGAGAACCATACAGAAGCTAGAAATAGTAGAACCCATCTGTGTGCGGATTAAAAGATTATAAATTGCATATGTCATGTCTGATTATAATTTTATCGATACATATTGTAACAAATACTGTAGATCTTATTTTAATAAGTCTTCTTTTTCTTTTAGTCCTTAAACTTTTTACAATCCCTACACACACACTAAGATGGGTAGGGAGGATAAGGCAACATGGAAATCCAATTACTTCACCAAACTTGTTGTAAGTATCTTGTAATAATATATTTGCAATATTTGGATGTGTGCTTCCATTTCTGGATTATCCTCATGAAAAATATTATATCTTTATGTAGCAACTTTTGGATGATTATCCCAAATGTTTCATCGTGGGTGCAGACAATGTTGGCTCTAAACAGATGCAACAAATACGCATGTCCCTTCGCGGGAATGCTGTTGTATTAATGGGAAAGAATACCATGATGAGAAAAGCAATTCGTGGTCATATAGAACGTAATGCTGCATTGGAAAAATTACTGCCACATATTCGTGGGAATGTCGGTTTTGTTTTTACTCGCGGAGATTTAATTGAAGTAAGAGACAAGCTCTTAGAAAACAAGGTCAGAGCCCCAGCTAGAGCAGGAACCATTGCACCACTGAGTGTAATCGTTCCTTCTCAAAATACTGGACTCAGTCCTGACAAAACATCATTCTTTCAAGCACTGAGCATTCCCACTAAAATTTCGAAGGGTACTATTGAAATTGTGGTACGTATATATTATATAATCTTTGTAATCTTATAATTGCAGTTTTGTTAAAATTCAAATTCGTATCATTATATTATGTTTATATTTTGTACAATTGATGTTTCATGTTTTAGAACGATGTTCATATTTTAAAACCGGGCGACAAAGTGGGCGCGTCAGAAGCCACTCTTCTAAATATGTTAAACATTTCTCCTTTCTCGTATGGTTTAATCGTTGAACAAGTATACGACTCCGGTACTATTTTTGCACCTGAAATTTTGGATATCAAACCGGAAGATCTGCGCGAAAAATTCATGGCTGGAGTTGCGAATTTGGCTTCAGTATGCTTAGCTATTGGCTATCCTACGGTAGCCAGCGCTCCGCATAGCATTGTTAACGGGTTCAAGAATCTGTTGGCTATCGCTGCTACTACTGAAATTGAATTTGCAGAAGCTGCTACAATCAAGGAATATATCAAAGTATGTCTACTTTAAATTATTATATGTTATTATAATGACTACACCTATGATGACAAACATATATCTGAAAATCCTATTTAATGTGTCAGAGCTAGCAATAGCAGAACCCACTGACACTTTAGGGTTTTTTTGTTGAAAAACGCATAAAGTGCCGTCTGAAATTCAATGTAGAATATACACTTTTTTTTAAAAGTTATTTAAATTTATGTATGTATTATTATTTTGTAACATTTTTGTAGGATCCGAGCAAATTCGCTACAGTCTCTGTTGCTGCTGCACCAGTTGCAGCTGCTGTAGAAGCACCTGCTGCTGAAAAGAAGGAAGAAAAGAAAGAAGAATCTGAATCCGAAGACGAAGATATGGGATTCGGTTTATTCGACTAAACTGCATATATGTATATCTATACATACGTATATGTTTAACATATGAAGCAGAGGGTCATGACCACTACACATTAATGTTAAACCGAATTTATAAAATGGAAACTCGAATAAACTACTTTATACAATATGTTGCACATAAATTTGATCTCCTGATATATGTTCTCGATCTTATCTTGTTCCTAGTGATAAGTGTATGCATTACAATATATTGCTCAATTAGATGAGTTGACACAAGATAGCAGTAAATAAAATTTATTATTCTTCCGCGCTTTGTATATTCTGTCAAAAAGGTGTAATTCTAGTTCCACTTGCTATTATCGATCGGGTACTTCATATTATTTGTTTCGGCTATATTTAAAGTAGCGAAGTCTTGATGATTCAGATGTCATATACAGGGTGTTCGGCCACCCCTGGGAAAAATTTTAATGGGAGATTCCTAGAGGCCAAAATAAGACGAAAATCAAGAATACCAATTTGTTGATGGAGGCTTTGTTAAAAAGTTAGTAACGTTTAAAGTTCCACCCGAACTGAATTTTTTTTTCGAAAATGCGCAGGATTTCGGGGGGTATGTCTATTCATCAAAAGTGATTGTAATTGACCCCCGCAACTGAAAATAATTTTTCTAGAACGATTTGAAATTTTTGAATTTAATTATTAATAACTTTTTAACGAAGCCTCCATCAACAAATTGGTATTCTTGATTTTCGTCTTATTTTGGCCTCTAGAATCGCCCATTAAAATTTTTCCCAGGGGTGGCCGAACACCCTGTATATCATTGAAAGTGACGGAATAGTTCGACATTCGACGAAGACTGTAGTTCATGCTGTATAGTTAGTATATAAAGCGTCGGTGGTACTGTATCTTATCTCATTCGAAAATTTCTGTGGTTTCTGTAACATACACGCGATTGTGCCTCGGTGTATTTCGATACCAGTCGGATTGGACCGATTTTGCGCGAAATTTTGTTTCAAGTGTCAAATTTTGAAACACTCCCATAATTATTAACCTATACAAATATGGGTCTGTTGTCTGAAGGAAACCCTTTATCTTGGGAGGAAACGAAAAACCTCGCGGAACATGTACGAAAACACGGAATTATTCAATTTATTAACTTATACAAGAGGCTCAGAGACAGGCAAGGTGATATACTCAAATGGGGTGATGAGGTAATAACCATTTTTCGATTTCTAAGATTCATTAAACACTTATAAACTTGTTTTGCAATGTCATGTCATAGAGTTAATTGTCATGAACGATTAAAAAATATACTATCTCATGTACACTATGATTACAAATTGCACAATATTATTCAATATATATTATTAACACATGGCTCAATTTTTATTTAAAAAAAATTGAATTATACGTTGAAATTATTATTTTTTAATTCATAAAATAATATAATTATATTGTTCTACTACATGTATCATCGATCAAGAAAAATTCCTTTTTCTAACCGAATATTTTTGTATTTCACATTATATAGGTTTTTATTAACTCTCATATGTTTTGTTATTTATATAAGAATATTATATTTATTTGTCTTTACTTTCAATAAATTATTCAGTCATTATTAATACCAGTAATTAATAGATGTTATAAGCTGTAACAGGTTTTGAACTATTATAAGCCATAACCTTCAGTTTTTTCATTTCAGTTATACTTCAATATTTCTAGGTAAATGAGTCAACACTTTTGATTTAACCATGTGATTTCACTAATACCATTCAATATGGTCAATGTTATCAATATATCTTCTAAACTTGTTTTAATGTTAACAATTAAGATTAAATGGTTATAGTGTTCTTAATATTCTATTCATTGATTTAATACAGGTAGAATATATGCTTATTAAATTTGATGATGAAGCAAAAACTGCAAAGCTTAGTTTAAGGGCTGTAGAAATATTGAAAACTTTAAATGAAAAAGAATATAATGATCCAGAGTAAGTATGTTTTTCTTCTTCTATGAATGAAAAATTAAAACTTTAAACAATAGTGTATTATTTTCAATTGTATGAAAAATAAATAGTACTCATATTCTAGTAATACATATTTTTTTTACAGTAATATTAAATCATTATGGAGACCTGAGTATGGAGCTTATATGGTTGAAGGAACACCAGGAAAACCGTATGGAGGTCTATTAGTCCATTTTAATGTTGTTGAAGCCAATATGAGGTATAGAAGGCAAGAAGCTACAAAATTACTTCAACCCAATGAAGTTTTAATGTCTCTAACCAGTTTTCCAAGGTAGATAAAGTAATATTGGTATTATAATATAGTAGTTGTATAGTGTTTTTTCAGAGAAATTAATTAATATCTTCTTCTACAGAATAGGAGCATCTGATTTTACAGATCCTCCTACACAACCAACACCAAACACTGGTGTATCAAGAAGTTTATTTTTCCCAGATGAAGCTATATATCCAGGTCATCCGCGATTCAAAACATTAACAGGCAATATAAGACAACGACGCGGAGAAAAAGTTGCTATAAACATTCCTAGTGTGTATTTACTATATTTAATATTTTTGTAAACAACACAATTGGGCTGGAGCATAACACAAAGGACTTATTTACAGTTTATAAGGATAAGAATGTTCCAAATCCATTTAAAGAAGATTTTGGTGCCTTGATTAATGATGAGTCTAAGAGTGCAGCTAAAGAAGATCATATTTATATGGATGCTATGGGTTTTGGAATGGGATGTTGCTGTTTGCAACTTACATTTCAAGCTTGTAACATAGAAGAAGCAAGGACATTGTATGATCAATTAACACCCTTATGCCCAATAATGGTTAGTAACACGTAACGATATTGTTATGTTTTCTTGAAAAATGAAAACATAAAGATAGCATATTCTTTCGCGCATACGTTACAGAACATTTGTTTAACATTCGACAGTTGGCTCTAACCGCGGCTAGCCCATTTTATCGAGGATATATAAGCAATGTTGACTGTCGATGGAATGTGATATCGTGTTCTGTTGACTGTAGAACACAGGAAGAACGTGGTTTAAAGCCTCTAAAGGAAAACAAATTTAGAATCAATAAATCTAGATATGACTCTATTGACTCATATCTCAGCGAACAAGGAGAAAAGTACAATGATGTTCCTTTGACATATGATGATGAAGTATATAAACAACTTTTGGATAATGGAATCGACAAATTATTAGCACAACATATAGCTCATTTATTTATCAGGGACACTGTATCTCTATTTTCTGAAAAAGTGTATCAAAATGACCAAGAAGATACCGATCACTTTGAAGTAATAATTGTTGTTATTACTACTATTATTGCAAGTATATAATTTTTATACATTAATGTATAAACAGCAAATGTAAAATTCCAGAACATCCAATCAACTAACTGGCAAACAATGCGATTTAAACCACCGCCGCCAAACTCTCCTATAGGATGGCGTGTTGAATTTCGCCCATGCGAAGCTCAAATTACAGATTTTGAAAATGCTGCGATAGTCTGTTTCGTTGTTCTCCTTACAAGAGTTATCTTAAGTTATAAATTGAATTTATTGATACCAATTAGTAAAGTTGATGCAAACATGGCTAGAGCTCAAAAGAGAAACGCAGTTAAGGCGGAAAGATTTTGGTTCCGCCGAGATATTACATCGGATGCAAAAAACCAAGATGGGCAAGCAGAATACACAGAGATTACCATTAATGAAATTATCAATGGAAAGGTATTACTTTCTTCCGGTAAATGAAACTAATTGCATAAATTACATAAATAAAAACACATCTGGTTTTAGGATGGTGTCTTTCCTGGCTTAATACCACTTGTAAATTCGTATTTAACTAGTATGGATATAGATGCTGATACCCACTGTACTGTACAATCATATATGAGACTAATACAAACAAGAGCTTCTGGAGAACTATTGACAACTGCTGCATGGTTAAGAAAGGAAGTTATTTCACATCCAGCATACAAGTAAGTACTTTGCGCGTGTAACTTCAAAATTACAAAAATGTATCGTTATATAATCAATCATATTATCTTAACACAGAAACGACTCTGTAATAACACAGCGCATCAACTACGATTTATTAAAAAAAATACAGAAAATTGCTACAAATGAAATATCCTGTCCAGAATTACTTGGCACGTGTATATCATCTAAAACTAATGAAACAATACCTGCAGCAGTTGCAAAAGCAGAAAAAATTCCACTATGAAAAGTTGATAGCAATACACTTACATAGTTCATAGATAATTTAGATGAGATTTTAATTTATACACTTCGTATATTGTACATATATAACGTAAGTAACAAGTATTCAGGCACAATACTTAATGTTGGGTGTTTGCAATCAATCATTTGACAGTTTTATAAATAGTTACATTCCGTAAAATAATTTTACTATTAATGTATTAAAAATGCGTTCGTTTGTAAAGATGTTAATGCTTTCAAGTTTAAAAAAATTATAATGTAAAGTTTGTTTATATAGTTTATTTATACGTAAATAATAAATTACAAAGGAACATATATTTTGTATTTTAATGTCAAAAAAATAAAGTAAAACAAGAAACATTTATCTATAAAAGTATATTGCATTTTATGATTACAAATATATTTCCACTTATTTATTATAAATTCTGTCTCTATGTAAAAGTAAAAAGGACACGGTTGTCCATTGTTTGTATTACTATAGTTTCTTATGTACCAATATTATATTGTTTATGATCAACATTATTGTTTATTTTTATTTCTCAAAAGGTATCCATTTTTCTATTACTCTACTATGTACAATTCTCAGATCAAAAAATTCGAGCATATGAAAATTTGTATTACAAAGATCAAGTATAAATCATGTATGTTTAAAAATTTTTAAATATTTCACATACCTATTCTTTCCCTGAATTAGTCCTATATGAAATATAAGTATTCCATAACAAAGCTACTGCTTGTACTATTAAGACTTGGTATTGCAAAGGTATAAAATAAAAGTTGAATAATTGTACAGTAGGCCAGATCTGAAAAAATGTTGCATTCACAAGTGTTAAAAATGCACAATGGAATTTTATATAAAATTTATCTTACTATACATATCATTGTATGTTACCTTATAATTATTCTTTAAAATTTCAGGATATTCACTTTTTAATTTTGTTTTTACATGTTCTAAATCACTTTCTCGTAACATACCAATTGTAGATAATAAAACTAATAAAAATGAAGGTGCAAAGAACAGTTGATCACAACATACTTTCTTTAATACTACAATTCCTCCTCTAGAACCAATATATTTATCTAGTATTCCATACCAGGTTCTTGTTACAGGACCCTGTTATATGATTTTAAATCAATAAAATTAACATATGAAGTGTGCAATTATAGCTGAATATTCAGTGTATAAAAACACTTTTATATTACAACTACTTACAGCAATAAAAAAACCTATACATCCAAACTGGGCTGTTCTTATAAAATCTAATTCGCTAATTTTTTTTCGTTCAATTACATTTTGTGCAATCTGATCCCCGAGTGCCATGAATGTACCTATCCATATAACAATACAAACAATCACTAATGCAAGTTACAATTGTATATACGCGATATAGAACATCTGATTCTATTACCAGCTTGGATAGCTTGAGTGCTTAATGGATATTTTGATAATAATCTTTGATATATCTTTATTATATTCGACATGTTCGTCGAAAATGTTATTACTATTCACTCAAATTGTATTATTTAAATTCGTTGCGTATATACCTTTACCTACGTAAAAAAGCTTTTAGATTAAATTTCCATCGAATAATGTGTACATACATTAATGTCTTTGATAAATACGTTCTTAAAATATGACTGATTGAAAAATGCAAAGTGCAGTAATTACTTGGGCTTCATTGAATTTTAATTCATGAAATTATACCTTGTATCTATGTTACACACGCGATTCCACTTATACTATTCGTATTATGTAAACTATGTATAAAATTCTAGTTTTTTACGTATTCCATTTTTAAAACTTTTCCTAACAAATTACTACTTTCTTTATTTATCCCATATAAGTTCCCATTGCATTATTAATAATTAACAATACATGCAGTTATTATATCAAGTCTTGGGTCAAACCATAGACAAGGACACAGACAATGTATTTAGAATAGATTGGAACAAACTTAGCAAACTTGGAACAATATTATTATTTATGTTTTTTCAAGAAGTGAAAAGGGAACTAAAAATAAAGCCCTTTTGGGAGATTTTGCCTTAGATGCGTTTGTTTTTATTATTGCGTTAGACAAACTGAAATACCAACCTAATGAAAATCAGTGATCGGTATTTCAATTCGTGTAACACCATCTTCCATAAAATGCTAGTTTCAAGGTAAATACTATTGCAGGAAGTAACTTAAACATCGAATGTTTTGATTCAAACTGTAAAGTGTAAAAATAAATCTTATGTCCTTGTCACATTTCCAGGAAACTGAACGATTCATTCAAGTAGACTGTACAGACACGTAAAAGTTCGACGTAAACAAAATGTTATCGAAAACGAACGTTACATTACCGGGTACATTACTACATTTCTGTTGTAATGAAGTTTAAGCATTACACAGAAGCAATACTTCGATTAATAATTTTATACTTGCAGATGTTCCACTACCACTTTCCTTGCTCATAATCGCATTATTGTCTTTGTGTTTTGCTAATAGTTACAATGGTGAATTTGTATTCGATGATTCTGAAGCTATTGTAAACAATGAAGATGTACAAACAACTCCTCTCTGGGATCTATTTAAAAATGATTTTTGGGGAACTAAACTAACTTACAAGCAAAGTCACAAATCATACAGACCATTTACAATTCTGTCTTTTAGGTAAAACTGTGTTTATAAAAAATATATTTGAATATCCGTTACATAGAGATTTTAACTCTTTTTAGATTACACTTCTGGCTTCGTGAAATTTTAGTAGCTCAAGATTATCATATAGTAAATATTATTCTACATACGATAGTGTGTTTGTTGTTGTTGCCTGTATTTAATATAATATTGGGCTCAAAAGGAAAAAACATTGCAGTTTATGCTACTGTATTATTTGCTGTTCACCCAGTGCATACAGAAGCTGTAAGAAATATTGATAGAATTAATATATTCTTTTTCTCAAATAAAAGCTCAATTTTAGCCATCTCTTGTAACATTCAGGTTTCAGGTATAGTAGGTAGAGCTGAATTGCTATGTGCTCTATTCATGTGGCTATCTATTTTGCTGTACAACTATTCAATCTTTGCAAAGAGATTATTATACAGATGGTGTAGTATGTGTGGTTGCATTACAGCCATAGCAATTTCAATGCTATGCAAGGAAACTGGAATTACAGCAATTGTAAGAAACATGAAATATTTGTTATGTGTTAGTTGGTTTCATTAATTATAACTTTTTCCAGGGTATTTGCAGTGTATATGATCTTGTAGTAGTAAATAAAGTATTACCATCCAATGTGGTCACATTTATGGCAATTAAACCTTCTTATACAGAAATAAAGAACATTATTGAGCGGAAACAAAAATTATTGATCAGGCTCTTTATACTTTTTGTATCTGGTTTGATACTCATAGTTTCAAGATTCAGTGTTATGGGATTTAAAACTCCTACTTTTCAGCATATTGATAATCCGGCATCATTCATAGACAACATGTTTTTACGAATGCTGAATTACAGTTACATTTACTGTCTAAATGCATGGCTATTGATATGTCCTGAATGGTTGTGTTTTGACTGGTCTATGGGTTGTGTACCTTTAATCACTACATATGATAAAAGAATATTTTTTGTTCTTATTTTTTGGCTGATAATTGGCATACTGTTTACATACACTTTCAATCAGCACGAAGAAAAGTTTGTAAGGTAATTACATTGTTATAAATGTCCGAAGTTGTAAATCTACTGTAAAAAAAAATGTTTTTTCTTTACAGATTTACGATTATGGGACTGGCAATATTAGTCTTTCCGTTTCTGCCAGCTAGTAATATCTTTTTCAATGTTGGTTTTGTGTTAGCTGAGAGAACCTTGTACATTCCTTCTGCCGGTTATTGTCTTTTATTTGTTATTGGATTACATAAAATTTGTAATCGTATTTCTATCCAGTATGCGCTATTAGCATACACAATTTTAATTTCGTTATTCTTCGTGAGATCGTGGATACGAAGTGACCAGTGGAGAAACGAAACATCGCTTTTCAGATCAGCATTACATGTTTGTCCATTAAACGCTAAAGTTCATTACAATATTGCCAAAAATGCTGCTGATGCCGGGAATTCTACATTGGCACAGTACGCGTACGAAGAAGCTTTAAGGTATAACAAAAAGTTCAAGCAACATGTTTAAGAGTAAAATGACGAGACCGACATAATTTCTATATCTTTTGAATAGATTAAATCCCCAATATGCACAAGCTATGAACAACCTCGGTAATTTGCTCAAAGATCAAGGAAAATATTTAGAAGCAGAAACGTTGTTTAAACGGGCTATAGAGCTGCAGTAAGTCTGATTACAACCGACTATTTGAGATGCAAGGAGAATGGGAAAGTTTATGTAGTCATTCCTGAAACTTTTGATTAGAAACATAGTGTCATTAAGTTGTGAGTTTTAGGGAAGACTTTGCTACAGCATGGATGAATTTAGGTATCGTCCTGTCGACTCTAAAGAAGTATGAGGAATCTGAACAAAGTTATTTAACGGCCCTATCTCATAGAACCAAATATCCCGATTGCTTCTATAATTTAGGCGTGCTGGTTAGTAGAATGTATATCGATTTGATTATGTGAAACTATCCGTTCTGAGCGAAACAATTTTGATTGCAGTATTTGGAAAAAAAAAATTATGATAAAGCATTAAAAGCTTGGGAATCTGCTACCAGACAGAGGAAAACTCACAGAAGAGCATGGACGAACATGATATTACTACTTGATGATTTAGGTATCTGAATAAAATCAATTGCACATTTATTCATGTATATTATAATGTACGCATGATTTTAGGTATGCGCGAAGACGCACTAAATGTAGCAATTCAAGCTTTACAATTTTTACCGGACGATGCCTCTATTCATTTTAATATTGCAAATATATTAGGCAAAGCTGGAAACTTTGTAGAAGCGGAAGTGCACTTTAAAAATGCAATATCGAAAAATCCTACAGACTCTATGTTTTACACAAATTTAGGTAAATTTGAAAATTTGGAAATTGTTATTTAATGTTTATGTTAAACGTTTATATCGGTTAAATTTAGGTGTATTGTACCACCGATGGAATAAACTTAACGAAGCGGAACATATGTACAAGAAAGCGTTAGAAATTAAACCAGAACTTCATAGTGCAAGAGATAACTTGAGAAAATTGTATTCTCTGAAGTCATCAATAAAATAATTTATTTTTTAGTACAGTAAAACTATAAAATTGAAATTACCGATTCATATATCTTCTATTTTTCTCGCGAGTTCCGTATTTCGTGGATAGGCGTACGCTTTAAAGTTTCCAATCTTTTTTTTGCCAATATAATTGAAAGATTTGAAACACGCGTCACAAAAGTAACAAGGATTGTGTGGTATTCTCTCGTGTTCCATTGTGATCCACTGTACACTGTACACACCACATATCATACAAAACTTAGAAGACGTAGGTCTTAATCTTACTATCTGCGGGTATGCGGCTACGGCTAAATCATCGTCGGAATTAATCAGCCTAAAGATGATTAAACAATTTCAATTGATGCTAAACATAGGTCTATTTTAAAATTCAAGATTTCCACACAATTTAATCGAATTACCTTGAATCACTGAATACGATCAAATGCTCGCACCCGCCTTGGTGTTTATACACCCATGGATAACCAAATCTTAAAAACAGAGAATCTATTCGAGAATTTTCCATTATTGCAGTTCGAAAAGGCCCTAATTTTGGCCGCCTTTTTGCCCATTCTTGAATTACTGTACTGTAATCAACATTTGTTGGCTGCCTACTGTCATTATAAAAAGTGTCTTCAATAAAAAAGAATCCTGATTTATAAACGTCCTAAAATAATGAGAGATGTTTTAAAATATATAATATATATATCATAATCTCATAAATTACACAGAGATTACAAATAAAAAAAATTACTTTTGCCATAGGTCCTACTGCATTGTCCAAATTGTTGCTACATTCTTTAGAAATAGTGTAATCAGCAATGCAAGGTATTTTATCTTTCAATTGAGCAAGTGTCTGAGATCCTAATATAGCTGTTACATTATTCAATCGAAGTAAAGAACCACATTCTGTCTTTGGCGCATTTCGTGCACGTTGAGCAAAAGGATGATAAATCCTAACAAAGACTAGAATATCTTTACCAGGAGTAGCACATTCACCATCTGATTCTGCTTGTGTTTTTTTGTCATGGGTCTAAACGATAATGTAATAACCATGTATCAATAATATTCCCTTTCCTACATATTTTTTTATATTAAATAGACATTTACTATAAATAATTCACTTTGATACTTGTAAGAGATTCGTTTGGCCCCTAATTTCAATCTGCTTCTTAAATTCTGAATGGTCTGTAGATCCACATCTTCCGGTAATTGAGGATCGAATGCCTCTTGTGTTCTCATTCTCCTAGTATTAATTATTTTTGGCATTTCTCCTTCTACAGTCAAATTGTCGATGCTGACAACAATGTACATATTTTAGAGCAACCAAAAAGTATAGAAACAATCGGTGCAAACAAACAAGTAAGAATACCTGCAGTAATTTGCCAGCATGGACATTTCCTCTTCACCAAGATTAACACCCATAAGTGACAGATAATCTTTTTTGTCTCTTTTCATAGGTATAAAACAATCTGTCGATGTTATCATAGTTTTATATTCATCGAAATATTCTTTTATGTGAACTCTTGGTGATGCATTGTTATTGTATAATCTATATACGTCATCCATGGGGAATGTTTTTGAACAACAATACGTAATTCGTAAAGTAGAAAACGAATTTTGTGCGCACACAAAGATCTATTAATTTGTTCCGAGAAATATGGCACGCCAAACGTATACCCTTCTCCTTCACGACAATCTTTTAAAACGTAAATAGTCGTCCGCGAATGAAATGTTAGATGGTGTTACTTAAATTTTGGAATAGGTTATCAATCTGATCAAATATAGTGAATAGATTTAAATACCTATCGTTGAATATTAATACATTTAGTTAGAATGAAATTTAGCTATAATGATGAAATAATATTTAAGTTCAGGATATAAAATTAAGTTTTAAAACTATTGGTTACATAAATAGATGTAAACTTCCATCCATGTTTCAGTGGAAATAAAATACCAACGGAAGATGCAACACTTAGAATGGTACTAATTGTCATATTAAAGTTATTTTTATGTAAACAGACATATGCGACTAGTTAAGGAATTCAAATTAAATAAATTTAAACTAGAAAACTACTATATAGAAAAAGTTTCCACCTAAGCCATAGGTGTAATATAAAAATGATATATCTTAATGAAGACTGACGATAATTTTCCAATAATTACAGATTATTATTTGGTATACTATTTATGTTATTAGATTCGATAATATTATTATTGTGATCCTTTTTATAGGAAGTTTCACACATACTGGTGATGCCATCTACCGGTCTATAAACCGTATTATTTCTTTGCAAACTTGGACATTCTACCATAGATGGCACGCCCATCCTTTTCACAATAATGCCTTCATTTTTATTAAGAAAATGAAGTTTGACTAAATATTAATCCAAAATTTACAAGTCTAAGTTAATACATATTACACGTAAATGAATGTAAAACTATGTATGTATATAAAGAAAAATAGAATGAGTCGTTATAACGTCATTCGATGATAAAACTGAGTACTGTTCCGCTACAAATTTGAGCGTTTAGCAATTTGATCCATTCATCGAAATTAAGAATTGCGTTGAGGGATGTAGTTAATACTTGTCGATAATAGAGCTGTTTGTTTGGAAACATTGTGTTATTGTTGGCATAAGCATTTTTTAATCTTTTCGATAATGCTATTTATTGCCAACATGTCATTTTGGATCTACGTATTATTCGGTCGTAATTAAGAGACTTTGTACGCTTCAGTATGTCAAAGTATCATGGTATTCACGGTTTGAACGGTTATGAACTACCGTCCATAAGACGCAGGACATTTCGGTCGTCCATCTTGGAGAAAGTAAATTGAGATAAATACAAGTACAATTTTTTGAAGCGACCTTATTGTTTTCTTTCATAATTGTTAATTCGTTTTTACTTGGCACTCATTAAGTATCCAATGACTTATGGACGGGAGTGTATCTGCATTTTCGAAGAATTACCTTCCAATTTGTGCTTCCCCCCTCAGAATTTCGAAAATTTATCTCACGCTCCATATACCAGTATCTAAAAATTCATACGAACCTTCTACCGAAACACCATCGGGAACTCCGGAAAGTGTGTTCATGCAGACAGCGGGAGAATCAGAATAAGACAATGAACGTAAGTCACGAGGGCACAATGAAGAGGCGTAAACCACGGTTGCTCACGGTGCAGTGCTCTCGCCAATGGTCCGTGCGAATGTGGCTCCGCCTCTTAAGCGTGGCCAGCTTTCCCCTCTAGTATCCATCGTGATTGTCGGCTGCGCTTGGTCGAGCGTGCGCACCAGTGTACACTCTCTCACACACACACACGCGCGGCATCTGTACTACGGAAGCACAACGGACTGATCGCTACGAATGCGCAGAAGTGTACGCGACACGTCAATGTGAGCGGCCACCGATTGGTCGTCGACCACTTGCAGCCCTCTCGGAACAAATGCAGTCCATTCTTCTCCCACTTGCATTCGGTCACGGATCTCTTCTCTCTGTTTCGTCGTCCGTCCTCCTTCGACCTCTTTCCCTCTAGACGGAGTTACTCTTTCTCTCCGTCCCGTTTTTCCCTAAATGATTTTCACGTCTCTCGGTCGCTCTTGTTGCACGGGACGTGCACGACCACGCGCATCAAAGCACGTAGGTGGGATGAGTCTTTCGCTCGTATTCTGGCGAACACAAGGATACAGCTCTCGGTGAGCACGCGGTCGCGCGTTCACACATGAGAGAAGAGACGACTACCACAGGCAGCGGGCGGGGGTCGCGGTTCTAAGGCCACGCTAGTAGCCGGAGAGGAGATTTCTTATTTCTGCTCTGGTAAATCTGTCGCCCCAGTCAGTGAGGCAGCGAAGGGCGAGCCGCGCACCATTGACCGTGTCCGTGCTTCTTTTTTCGTCTCCTCTAGTTGCGATCCGGCGTTCTCCGTTTCTCTCGCCCTTTATTTCTCCCGCGCGCACACAAACAAACAGCACATCGTCTCATCCTTTCTCGCTCTTTCTTCTATGGTAGAGCAAAGCGGCGTGTACACGGACACGGACACGGCCACGGACACGGTACTGCACGTTGTTTGCACCGGTGTTATTTACCGTCAAGCTACATTGTCGCGTTTTTCCCGCGTCGAGTGTCTTTCCCCGGCCCGCGCGAATCAACGACGCGGTTCGCCAGTTACCATCTTCTTTCATCGGCCGGTGACGCGGTACCCCGTGGTTCTCCGGTTTACGTCGTTCCGCGCGAATGAAGAATCAATTGACGGCCGTTGCACTAGCTTTTCTCGCGTTGCGTCAGTGAAGTGCCTCGTTTTTGTTGTGGCGTAGTTCGGTGAGCTGGTTACGCTGCTGGACGCGAGTGAAAGCTCGCCGATGTTTACTGGAGGAAAATGTAAAATTGAAGGAATGTTTGTACAAACAGCGCAGAGGACATAAAGACTCGCCTGAGAGAGTTTGCGGGTTAAACAACTCAACCGGACTAGGTGTTTCGGAGACACTGGATTTGCAAGTTAGAGGATTCCTTGCTCTGAGAGTTCAAAGGACACTTAGATCGCGAGACAGAGAACTTCTCGGACCAAGAGTCCAATTCGAAACGCGCAAGTATCGGAGAGAAGCTGCTGGAGGTACTCGAGGTTTGCAGAATCACAGAGGAACCGCGTTGCATGTAGCCGACGGCCGCGAGACTGGTCTTCCCAATGGATCCTATAGTTCTAGGTGAGCGATCGGTCCTGCAATTTAGAAGCGACGTAAATACTGTCCCGGTTAACTGTGTAATACGCAATTATGTCATACGTACTCTCTGAATCGGGACCAATTTCGTTTTGGATAATCGAAGAAAAGATGCTCGTAAAACGAACCAAATGTCAGGAACGAGAATTTGCATGGTAGCTGTAATTTATACAGGTGTTGAGTATAGAAACGAACAAGGAAGTCTTAATAAATATGGATCCACGTTACCAATGTTGTTTGGTCCCAGCTTTTTTCAAACCTGTGTAGGTGATCCACGGTTATGAGATTTCGCTGGATGGAGTTTCGAGGCCATTCCGTCGCAGTTGTTCCTCTTTTCCGTGCGTCTTCCACGATAAAAGATTGAAATTGCCGCGCGGCGATTGACGCGTGTGTCGATCAACTTCGACCTAATTGAATTTATAATTAAATGAGACGTGGCGCTTCGTTGTATCTCAGCGGCGCCGTCGGTCGGTCACACTTATTAATTTCGCTGTAACGATAATAAAATAGGTTGCAATTATCGGACTCAACACTGAGCGGTACCTAAGTTGCCAGCGAGCGACGTTCGTTTCAATAGAATCTCTTGTTTACAATTAACAGAAACCACCTACGTTCTTTCTATGGAAGAACGAGCGATAAACGCGCGACAGAAATCTTCGCGTTCGTTAAAACCGCTTCGAGTCAAATCATGTATCTTATTAAGATAACGTTGAACTATCTCTTCTATTTAAGAAACTACAATTGTAGCACTCCCGGCTTTTACGTGACGAATGATGTGATATGCAATCAACCGAATAATCCGCACGAAGAAGGATACGAATTAGTCTATTTATAGAAAGTTTACTGTACTCGTTTCACCAGCAACCTTTGCCCTTGCTGGGCCCCGGATGCCCTCTCTCGGTCCTTATCGCCCTGCTTTTCTTCGTTTTTTCAAACTCTCGACGAAACAGCTACACATCATACGTGGCTCGTCAAAGCGGTGTTTGGTAATTATGCCAGTGGTCTATCCTCGACATCACGAATATCGGAACTGACCGGTCTAACGAGACTGCTTCATAGCTGGTTGCCGATGAGTACACTAGCATAATTTATGTCGCTGATTACCAGTGAACGGTCCAGTCAACTGCGTATTTATGCTCTTCCTAAACGTCTGGACACACAGAGGCCCCTAAACGCTCGATTTTGTTTGTTGTTATTAAAGATTTTCAATGTTTCTCTTCCTCCATTGTTTGTCTATTTGCGATACACGTTGCACGGCTAGAACAAGTGGTGCACAAGAACAGAAAAGCTTGAGACTCGGTCGAAGAGGAATTCTGGTCGAATCAGAAATATTGACAGGAGTCCGGGTATCATGACCTACATTTTGGTAATGCGATCATAAATCACTATGATGTGCCACGTTTGTTGTGACGCGTGAAACGTTGCCGATGACCCAGATCTAACGTTACCCATTCGCGGCAAATCCCGATGATTTTCTTTTTTTACAACGCGCGTATTCCACGCGATGGACGCGCGTCGGAAACGTACGAAATTTCGAGGGACCTTGAACCTGCAACGAGAGATACAATTACACGAAAAAATTCGGTACGACGCGGCGGATCGAACTTTGTACGCGAATCTATCGATATACGCCCAATCGACGCAAAACAAAACGTTCGGAAGTGGACGGAGAATCGATTAAAAAACGGAACCCGATCGCGAAGCGGAACGAATACGCGTGTGGAAATAATGTCCGCGGTTTAAAATGCCTGCGTTATCGGCTTCTACGTTTTTTTTTCTTCCCCTCCGCGATGACGTTGACAATCCCTCGAAGTCATTGACACCAATACACCCATAAACCAGCGCGTACGGTTCAAGACCTTGATACGTTAACGCGATACATTGGAAACGTATGTCGCGAGATAAAGTCGTCCGAGCGTGCTTCTCTCGAGCGGGTGGACCGGGAGATACGCTCGACAATAAAAATTTGTCACGACACTTTGCGACCAACCGATTAACCACAATGCTTTTCCGTTACTTTGCGAAATCGGCGAAAAGCGTTGGATCTCTGTGTTGGCGGGATGAAACAATTGCTACCGAATGTAAACTCTACGCAGGAACACCTGAAATAAGAAATAAACATTTTACTATGCTGCTCGACTGTGTCGAAGTATCCAACTATCTATAGAAAGTTTATTGTTATTAATTCTTACCAAAATCATTTTACAAAAAGCATTGTTTGTTACCATGACTTGAATCGAGAATCAAATTGTTCCCGGGCGAGGGCTCCAGACGCGTTTGATAATATTGACACTGTTGGAAAATGTGCAGTTACAGATTCATTAGTGTTCAATTAGTACCGTTTGTTCCAGTTAAACAAGGAAGCCAGCTTTTAAAGGGTCCAGTTGACAAAGGACTCTGCGTAAATACTTGCAGTAGCTTCTGGAGTTCTCTCGAGCTACCTAAGGACCGTTTCGGTCGATCCTCTCGCGTCCTTCTTAGCTTGAAAAGCATTCGCGACAATTCGTTCTCGACTAATTTCGTTGTACCTTTAAAGTTAATCCTTTGAGATTTCGTGTTTACTCTAACTTCGGTTCCCTTCTGGACACGCGCTTTTGTTCAAACGCTTGTAGGCTTTTTTATTTTATAGTCTGTAGAACGAATGACAACATATCACACATTGGATGTAGCTTTGAGACAGTAATCGATCTAAACAGAAAATAATTCTGGGAAGGCACTGATACCGAGAAGACTTTGTCAATTGGAAGACGCGTATGGTCGAGAAACGATAACGAAAATACATTGCTTAATTTCCATTATCTTCTTCACTTTGACAGTAGAATGTTCTCTAATAAAAAGTTTATTATCCGAGCACCGTCACGCATCGATGATCGAGCAAATTTTTTACGGACATTAGAACGTGTATTTATCTGAACTTTGACCGACTCCAGACGCTAATTCGTGTATTATAGAAGAGGACACCAGACGATTAGATGGCGACCATAAATCGCACAGAAACGTAAGAGACGGTATCGAATGTTATACAACATCGTATTACACGCTGGTGGAATCGATACTGGGATCTTCCGAATCGCTTAATTAAATATTACATAAGGCCGTTATTATTGTCGTCGCACGATTACAGAATACCAGAAAGTGTCATTCAAAACGCATCGTGATACGGCAGAAATCTACGATCGAACGACAGCAAAGTGTCCCGAGCGTTTACCACGACGCGGCTCTAATATTTATTTAAATTATTCGCCGCTCGTCGCGTCATGGATCGGTTATGAAAACGTGACAAGGTGGAACGTATCGTATGGACTATTTCGCCTACAGACAACGATCGTACGGTAAAACGATTCCGAGATGTATCGTTGACAAGTTGTTACTTGCACGATTTGGACGTGCATACCAGTCCCGTGATTCAAAATTTTGGCGATCCGCCATCGGGGGAATCTTCTAATAGCCTATTCCAAAAATTTCGCTCGTCCGTGTAGCATTCGCGCCGGTCAGCAATTTTAGTTTTTAAAATTAGAGTCGATCCTGATTATCCTCGAAGCTGTTCTTCTTGCATCCTGAAACAGTAATAGTCAATTCAATCGCTGTCTGCGTGATTTCATTTTGTTGGGATTTCTACTGCTGCAGACTGCGGCCGACAGTGATCCGCGAAACCCTTCGCCAAAAGCGGAGACACGTTCGAGGGATCGGCGAAGAAAAAGAAGAGATATATACTTTTGGCGGTGCACGTTTTTTGTTCGTCGATCGGATATATTTCGGTCCCACTGTCATCGCGTATTCCAGATGCGAGACCGGGTTCTCGCGCGGAACACGCGCGCGTACACGCACGTGGCGAGATAAATTTTGCACGGATGTATTTTAGGTGCACGAAGAAAGGTATGAAGGAAGAATTATTGGAAAACTTGGCGAAAGGTCGAGAAGAAAAATACAAATCGAGAATTAAACGCGAGTGCTTCTTCGGCGACGTGAAACTGATGAACGCGTTCCTCCTCGGAGAATAAGTAAACGCGTTACATGCGTATTTTGTCACTGATCTTAGAAAAGCATAATTTATCAGCAATTCTCTGTACGATATTTGTATATATTTATATATTTCCACGTGGGTCGTTGGCAATAAGCACCGAATGTTTGAGGAGAGAAGAAGTAACAGAGGCGAATGATGAATACGCGAATCGTTGTTAATTCAGTTCGAGGCAGACGCGTCTAGAAACTGACGAAGCTATGATGAAACTATGTTCGACGAGGTCAAACGGTTATCGTGAAAAATGCACCGCGATTAGCGCATAATTAATTTCCTCTGGCGTGAAGTTACATAAATTTCACGGTTATAAATAGACAATTCGGTAATCTAGGAAAAAATACAGAATTCGTTCTTTCGGCGATAACCCAATTAAATGAATTTCCCTTGTCGCTAGGAAAAATATCGCGCATAAATTTACGTGCAAGCGCGATAACGTCCGATCGGTTGCGTCGCGGCGCGTTCGACGACCATGTGGATTACGCGCGATAACAAGATCGAAGAGTCTTCGAGCGTGGCCGATTTTAGAGCGATGCAAAAATCGCCTCGATTTGCCAAGAATCCTTTTCCGGTGGGAGATAACACTGTTTGGCCGGTGCCCAGGTTATGTGACTTCTGGAAATAATGATGAAGCCTGACAGGCCTATTTCAGAACACTCGCGGATACACGTGGTATAAATCTGGGTGCGTTCGTCTTCAGACATTCTGACTCGATACCGAGATTCGTGGCCCTTCAAAACTGTGACTATAAACTTGAGGATTTTATCAAAAATTATTTTAGATTCACCTTCCATCTTGATTATCTGAAGGGACCAATGGTTTTCCTCCAGGAACCCCTAAAAGTAAATCAAATTTCTGTGTTTAAAAGTGTTCAAATTTTAGGGTTCCGGTACCCTATAAAATTTTCAATTGCAAAATTTGGAAATCATACCTTTCCTCGAAGACCACCTCCGCTCCCAGAGAAATCCAGCTTGCCAAATTTCTTAATTACGAATAGGTCCTCATCAATTTTTACCGAAACCGGTAGATTTCTAGCGTTTCTGTTGACGTTGCATTAATCTCGGGCGTTGGACGATTCCCCGGACAGTTTAAACTTCACGCTCGAGAATTAAGAAGATTTAATTTCTGACGCGCCGCCGCGGCGAACTAATCACTGACATGTGCACCCGGGCACTGCGGAAATTAAATTAAAGATCCGTTTCTATAAAAGCGAGAGAGGCCGACAAAGGGGACGGCGGCTCGGGGGTCGATAATTAGCGAGTGAGTATGGTAGACAAACACTGGTCGCGTTCGGGGGCATCTACGTAAGTGAAACACATGTTTTCGAGGGTGACACTGACATCCATCACTTGTTTCGTGCACGCCCACATCTCGGACCATGCCTCGGCGTTCGCTTTTCTACTTATACACCAGGCTGACTTTTTTGCTCGTCCTTTTGTCCGTGACAATTTGTTTCAACCCCCTCTCGCCCCTGGTATCGTTTTCGCAAATTTCCAGTTACGAAATTAGCGCGATACTTCTTCTTGGGGCTTCCTTGCATTTCTCAGAGAGCACGGGCGACCGCTGGAATTGAAGACGCAAATCACTCGAAATAATTGGAAGATCGTTTATTCGAATTACTTTATCGTTCACCGAGCCACTGCATAATCAGTCTTTCACCTCAATTATTTACTCGTGTTGATAGTATTTTTTAATAACGTAATACCATCGAAACAGTTTACCTTACATGTCATACACAATCGAATCTGTCTTCCTAAACAGCACAATTAGCTACGGAGTCAGTCAGCTCGTTGCAAGAGCTAGTAAACATTAAAGTTAACAGACGCTATGGCCAGACGTTCTTAATTACCGTCGTAATTATTGTCATGCTATCAATCTCGATCGTAAGTACGACTCCCACCGTTTCGCGAATTACATAACTCACGGTTGCGACGGATTCGCTTCTGTACCGTGTACAATAAGACCACAGTTAACCCGCGGAGGAAACGCCGACCTATCTCTCTCTATCTCAGCGCTATCTCTTCTTGGGCTAGCTCGAATTTCCTGGCGGATCGTCGCGGATCGAGGAGGAATATAATCGTTGCAGGAAGATCGAGTGGTCGCATACATCTGCGGGTCGTCGTGTGGAACCCGGCGATCCGGCCATTTCACGCACGCACACGCGTGAACGTCGTCGTGCACGCAATATTATTAGACTTTTTCTCGAGCGTGCGGTGATGAATGGCCGGGATCAAAGGGTCCCGACGCATGTAGTAATTTTACACGCGTGTAATACACGTATTCAGAGCGAGGAGAGAGCGAACGGTGCACGCGTGTGCGACCGTGTGTGCGTGGTTCGCGTCTCTCCGCACATGCGACACTTCGAGGAGGATGATCCCCCGTTCGGGACATCGGAACTTGCGCTTTCGCCGAGGCTGGGTGTGTTGGGTCCTTCGACGATATAGTAATTAACACCGTTGTAGGCGTAGGTGTCCTGTAGAAGTACAAACATGATAATAGATAATTAAATGATCCATAAAAGTCAGCAGTATATTAAAGTTGACTGGGATCAGAAATGCGATCCAATTGTTTATCTTGTACCGGTAATATTTTCTACCCTACTGCGGGAGGGACTGGGGGACAACATTACTAGAAATTTATCACCGACCCGTATAGAATTTCTAGTACTCGAGACCTCGGAGACCTGCAGATTAATGCTTTTGGGGGACAAGAAAAACATTTTTCTTTGAGTAGGCGAGAAAGGGTCCTATAAAATACAAGATAAAGTTTTTTTTTGTGGTACCATTTGCTTCTATTTCACTCTGGCTTATTGTTGCACCTTTTTAACTTTAATTCCTCTTACCCGATTTGTATCGTATGCTCTGGTTGCCCCGAAAAATGAGAATTGCAAATAATTAAAAGTCGTTCTCCAGCAAAGAGTGTAGCTTCATGGTCCGCGAAGGCGGTGACAGAAACAGCAAGCTCCTGAAAAGTCACGAAATTCATCGTAACTGTAAATCCATCAAACTGGCGATTTATCCGTTCATTAATACTCACCTATAAACGAGCCGACTGGGGAGCGCATAAACCACAGAGGCTGTCTCCTGTTTAACGAGCCCGCGCTACTCCTTCACGATCGACTGTTTGCCAGCAAAAAGACGGGGCTTTTAACGCAGCGCGGATCATTAAGTCCAAATCGTTGGAGTTTAACGGGCCACGTCGGGGTCGTTCCACGAATCGGCGATCTGCTGAAAAACCCGTTCCTTTGACCGGGGTGATTCCCGGAAAACCCCCTGGCCCTGTTTCTCCGTCAATTTTTCATCTTGGCGGTTCGCTTCGGTCAGTTTCCACTTTTCAACGATTTCGGTATTATTAATTTTATTATTCTTCAACGTCAGTTCACCCGTTTGTTGAATGAATAAATTAAAGTCGAGATTTAAAGTAGGCGGCCATCGTTGCACAGCGATAACACTCAGTAAACGTCTGATCTCCGAGTTTCGGCTTACGAGCGAACATCCTTTACACTACGTTGAAATTTACAACGTATCAGGTAGCGTACTATAAACTCATTCGCGCAGTCATTCGGTTATTTCAAGTAACGTAACGCGACGTTTCCTTTGAGAAGCATCAATAACATTCGTTGACGGTGGAGCAAAGGGTCGCGCGAAATTCGCCATTACGATGCGAATCGAGGGGGTGCCGGGGAGGATGGGGAGAAAAAAATGGTGGCCCGATGGGCGCGCGTGCAAAAACGCGTCTCTACGGTCGACGGCGTCGGCGTCGGGCGACGGTGCTCCCACTTCCAGGAATCACGGGAGCCATCGTAGGGCCTTCCTTTCCGCCCGCGGTTTTCTTATTTGCTCCTCTTCTTCTCCGTAGTACCTCCGGCTCGGCGCACGGGAAGAGAAACGAAGGGAGAAAGAGAAGAGCCACATAAATTTCCCCACCGGCGGTGTCGGTGTCTCTTCTGTGAACAGGAAAGAGCGTGCTCCGCGTTTCCTCTCCGTCTAGGATCCGTCCGTCCATCTCTCTGTTTCGAGGGACACTGAAAATAACAGAGTGTATGTAAACATAGATTCGCTAAATGCCCGGTTTCCGTGACGGAACGACGCTAAGTCGTTTGCAACTGTCTTTGCGGATCGGTGGTCGAGGAATTTTTGGAAAGGTTACCCCTACTTTGTTCTACGCTAAAAATTTACAAACTACATATATAGAATTGCTTAGAGACAAAGAAACTCGGCACCACATAGTCCAAGCAATTTCTATTGCGGATATTGGAGAAACGTACAAGAAGTTTCCTCTGTTCTCGTGTTTCAGGGAAAGTCAGAATGTAGCCGTGCCCCGGGTTAAAGATAGCTCTTCTTATTATGCTCGTAACGGGTTGTTTGTCTTTGGTTCACGGCCGGTGGAATTTAGGTGGGTTTTTGGAATGCAGTTAAAGGTAATTGGTAAGGCATCGCTTCGCTAATTAAGGGCTGTTACACAAGGCAGATTGGATTAACAGGAGCAACCGACGCGATGATATGGAGACCGAGTACATCTGCATCTCATTAAAACGAACTCCCCAACGCCAGGTGTAAGGCTCGATGCGGTGTATATTATCGCCGCGTTATTTCGGCCTCCCAGCGAATCGATGTTAGATCGTGCGGTTCCTTTGCATTCCGACCGCGCGTTACGAACCTCGACTGTCGACTACCACGATTCTGTTAATCAAAATCGTATTGCTTTTCCACCGCTGAAACGACCGCGAGTCTCGGAAATCGGGGGTGTCGCGTAACCCAAACAGCGAGAGAAAATAAAATCGGGATTTACTGAGAGTTTAATGGGCCCGAAAGCCCTCTCCGTAATCGACTACGACACGTCGACTATAAAAACCCTGACCCAAAAGGTCTGTCTAATCGAGCAGCGCCGTTCATTTTTCTTGTTCGACTCGCTGGCCCTTCGACGAACCTCGAACTGTGAATATATTATGTGTTCGAATTTCTCGCGTTATCGAATCGTACTGACTTCTTGGTGTACTGATGGAACTTGCCATATTTATAGAGTTGTTAATTGTAAGGGTTTAGCGGCGGTAACTTAACTTTAAGGGATATTAAACACTATTAGACATACAAGGAATACCCACTAGCTTTAAATGGTAAAACCCATGATCTGCTACCTAGATCCGATCGACCTTGACAACACGAATATTTCTGTTCTCTGGTGCAGCATATACGCGGATGTAATCCCTCCTTTCCCTCTTTTCCCGGAGCAGAGAGCAACGCGGCGGAGTTGGGTGGGGACCAACAACAACAACAGCAACAACAACATCAACAGCAGCAGCAGCAACAGCAGTATGGCGAGGTGAACCAACTGGGTGGCGTGTTCGTGAATGGGCGACCCCTGCCAAACGCGGTTAGGCTGCGAATAGTGGAGCTTGCACAGCTGGGCATCAGGCCGTGCGACATCTCGCGGCAGCTGCGGGTCAGCCATGGTTGTGTCAGCAAAATCTTGGCCCGTTACCACGAGACAGGCAGCATACTGCCGGGCGCGATCGGCGGCAGCAAGCCCCGGGTGACCACGCCGAAGGTGGTCCAGTACATCAAGCAGCTGAAGCTCAAGGATCCGGGTATCTTCGCCTGGGAGATCAGGGATCGTCTGCTGTCCGACGGCGTATGCGACAAATACAACGTGCCATCGGTGAGCAGCATCTCCAGGATACTGAGGAACAAGGTCGGCGCCGCCACTGCATTGCATCATCATCCCCATCATCCAGCGCATCATCACCATCATCATCACCTGTACGCGGCCGCGGCCGCCGCAGGAGCTGCGCTCTGTCCCGTCCCTTATCCGCCGACGCCTTATCACGCGACGCCACCACCCGCTGTAACGCATCACCATCATCATCATCATATTCCAGGTTCGTAGCTGACAATCTTCTCATTCTCTCTTTCTCTCTCTCTCTCTCTCTCTGTACAAATAGAAGCAACAATTGTATTAGTCAGACGGCTCAACTATAATGTGTAGATAGATGTTTAAATCTCTGACTCGAAAATTTTCATTCCCTTGGTGACCTAGAGCGGACGGTCCATTTTGTTCCGACCCGAATCGTCACGATATCGTTCAGCTCTGTGCGTGACGCGGGTAAGAACAATCAGATGCGGTCTGAAATGTATTCAGCCTTTTGAAATCGTTCGGTTCTAGAGCCCCCTGTTTCACGGATACACCTGAATTTAAGATCACGCGTAGACGAACGCGTGATGCTATTTCTCACGTGTTTATACACGTGTACACGGGTACACGGATTTACAGACACACGAGTACACGTAAACTTAACCATCTTACCATTACAAGAGTCATTTCAATTACATTTTGATCGACACTGCTTCCATGTTAAAAGAAGAAGAAACAGATTATTTTATGCGTTACTTAATTTGTCGCAAATCACACACAAAACAAATCAACAATTAATTCATTAACACCGCTATACGTGTATTACACATTTTCACATGTATCTGGGTACCCGTATACTCGTGTCCATTGCGATCATTTTCACGGGTACACGCACCACGTGTATCCGTGTATTTAAAAACACGTACAAGATCGAAGGCTCTGTTCAGTTCTAGCAGCGAGCTCGCGGGATATCAGGCAACAGTCGCGTCTCTTTCTTCCATCCTGATACGAGCGCTGATTATCGAATTCGCAACAACCCGTTCCTACCAATTCGGTACCGGTGCGTTTCCAGTTGGCCCGACGACGCCGAGCAAGCTGTCGCCATCGTCGCCGACCGCGATCCACGCCGGTCACCAGACGACCACCGCCAGCAGCCTACAGTGGCCGAGTCCTCACACGGTCCACGATATCCTCGCCAGCGGTTGCAATCTGACAGTCAATTCTCCGTCGTCCTCGTCGCCGACCTCGCCGCTCTGCGCGACGGTCAACAACAACCACCATCATCACGGCCATCATCATCACCAGCCTAACGACAACGTTGTCAACAACAACAACAACAACGAGGAATCCAGTGGAACCGGTTACCATCATCCGCACCACCATCACCATCACCATCAACAGTATTACGCGTCGGCCCTCTACCATCATCATCACCATCATCACTCGGACAACGCGACGCCCGTGGTGACCGCGTCTCCCGTCCTCGCCGTTCAATCGATCATGATGCAATCATCCGCGGCGAACAGTCAACCGGCCAGTCCATGTAACTGAGATTAGATTCGTTTTATCGGAAGAAAAGCGTGTCCCTGGTGTCAAGCAACAAGAGAAGAAGTGCAGACGACGAGAGCAACATATATTGTACAAGTGGAATAGGTTCTGGAAAGTGTAGTGAAGAGACACGGTAAAAGGTACTTACTTTTTCTGAACGCGACACGCCCTTGGTGACCGCTTGCTTCTCCTATCCTCACCGTGCAATCATAATGCAGTCTTCCGGGTAGCTGAGAAGTTGTTTCATCGTCGAAGCGTTGTCCCTAGAATCGATAAACGACAGAAGACTTTGTAGAAGTGAAATAGGTTTTGAAAAGTGTAGTGAAGAGACACGGTAAAAGGTACCTTTTGTGAAGATCCGTGAGAACAGAGACGCTGTGGTGCAAAAGAAACAGTTGATCGTCGGAGTCGCTGTTGCGCCATTCTGTAACGAAACAACGCGACGATTACTATGTTGAGCGATCGAAGAACGTTGTTGAATCTTTGATACCAGTGTTCCGAACAATAGAAAGTACGAGAGGGGTATATCACCAGTATTACATATTTTTATCGCCGTGTGCCATAGATTGAATGCCAAGAGTGCCTTTTTTCGAGTGCCATAAAGAAACTTAATTCTATGTATTTACCGTATACGCGACGAACTATGAGAAAACGACGGAACAGGGAGATTGTTACTATTTTTTCGTCCCTTTTGTCCGTTTTCGTACGTTTGCACGAACCTTGCGTAGTCGAGGAAGATATACATAGTGAATCAAAGACCGAACATCAAATCGAAAGGATTATATCGCTATTATTTAACTGATAAACGAGTACAATCGTTTCACTATTGCGTAATCATACGTCTTCTGCCATGTATGGAATGTAACTTTTCTCATTGGGAAATATATAGTTTCCTCGAAGTTAAACGACAGGCTCCACCCTTCAAGTTATCCTTCCAATCCTGCAAAAATGTTTAATATAAATGAAAGTTCAAACTATCGTTTAAGTACCAGGACCTGTTTAACCATTTACCTGTACAAAGATTTTCGCACCAGGACCTGAAACAGCTACAGGTAAGTTGCTTTGGTAGATATTGTCGGTAATTCGCGAATATTTGGTTAGAGACAAGTGTCAGATTACTCTTAGACGTCGAAAGAATTAGTTGGTAATGATGCATCACGGGCGAACTCCCTTCTCGTTGCGTCACGGCATAACTATAATTAACCGAAATTTTTCTGCGGCTGACATTAATCTACTTCCTAGCTCACGGCTCGGTTGGCACGCTGAAGAGTTCGAGAATACAACGGCGCTTTAGATTCCCCGCGATTCCGGACTTTCTTGGCACGACGCGCGCAGACCTTTGAATGATACGGTTCTTTCGCGCGGATGGTCCAAATGGTCCACGATCGAAAGTGCCATTGTTCGGTCCATTAACAGGAAACGAGATTCGATGGAATCGAGATTAAATTAAGATTCAGACCGTCGCGTCGGCACCACCTTAACTATACGAACAGCGACGCATTTGTTCTCGATTTTTTGGCAATTCGTTTCGATTACAAATTTCATTTTGTCTCGTTAAAGATATATATTTCGACATGCAGGGATGATTATGGGCCGCGACGAACCCCAATAGCTCGCACCAATTCCAGCAGAACGCAATCTTTCGCGGCGATCTGTTTAATGGCCACGACTTCCGCGGCTCGAGAGGAAAGTTTGTTTCAGTAACAGCGGGAGAAAAACCGTCGGGATTTAGTTGTCCGTGCTCGGGCAATCGAGTTTCCAATCGATGGAAGCACAAGGTACGTATTCATTTTGGCCAACGCTTGAAAAATGGTCGATGCAATAGTCGGGAGTCCCGCAAATGGGCATAAGAAACAATTAGAGGGCCGCGATCAGATATTAATCTGTACCGCGAATCACGGCACCTCTTGTATAGTAATTTTTCAGTCGTAATTCGTTAACTTCCACCCGAGCATCGAGCGTATTCTTCGACGACGAAGTCCGCGCGTGAGAATCGAAAACAATTACACCAGTCGCAAAGTGCGTATACTGGTACGATTATATTTGCAATATAGCGTTTAGGTCTTTCGCGGGCGTCGCGCGTCTTGTAACATACACGCGTAACAGTCGATAGCGCGGACTGGCGTGATTGATGCTTCCATTCCGAATAATCGGAACCATTTCTCTGTAACCGATGATAATGTGCGCGCAATGTTTAATGAGCTGCGATATCATTCTTAATGCATAAAAGCTTACAACTAAATCAATCGTTTCTTCTCTTGTTTTTCACAGAAGCGGATTTTCCCCGAAGAACGACGCAATTTACCCTCGACTAGCGGGGTGAGATGTTGGTAACTCAATTAAATCTTTGTTAGATCGAGTTAAATATTGATTACATAATCGATAGATTTTAACATGGTATAGATGTAACATGGAATCGTTTCAACCCTCCCTTCCCGATCGAGGGTAAATCGAATTAAACTTTTACATTTTCGAAGTTTCTCAGCCTTAAACGTACAAGCGAGGAATTGATTATCGTTATGGGCACACGCGACTAAAACATTGCCAAACGATACCGAGCCTTCCCAGTGTTTGTAACTCGATAAGACAACAGATAATAGCTGCAGCTCACATCGAGCCGTTCCTTGTGTGGATACGCGCGCGTACACACGCACACGCATTTACACACACACCGAGTTATAAAAGCAAACGGCGCGGCGCTATCCAATCAGCGTCGATCGAGCGTGAAATCCCTCCTCTTCGACGAAATTAGACACCCACTCGGCGTTCCCGACTTCACGGGCCTCGGTCTACATAACCAATGATAGTTTTTCCAATGGAAGATGATATAAAAAGCCATTGAAGCACTTCTGTCACGGGTCTTCTATAAAATTAATCAAAAGCTACCTTTAGACCGAAGAAAGACAAAGAAATTTTCTTTAAATATTTAATTTACGCATTGTTTCTCTTAAAGATCGTTCCACAGAGACTTTTTAAGAAGACGGAATCGCGACTCGGACCAGGAAGGTCCCCTAGTTTCTATCCGTCCTTCGCGCGCTTAATAAAACCGGTGCGCCCTTAATGAGATTGGAGAAAGCCGACACTGAACGACTTCCAAAGAAGTAGCTCCTGTGGGCAGGTTCTGTCGCTCCTTTGAACAGAGTAACAGAGTATCGGGGCGGGGTATCTCACCGCAGAGTAGATAGGGGGTATTCGTATTTCAAAGGGACGGCCCGTCACGCCGCGACGGTCCTCATTATGTTATGCGCGGCCAAGAGCGTCAAGAGAAAAACACGATCGCGCCTATATGTCGAAAAGGAGGATCGACAACCGAGAGGAGTTTTAAGCGAAAGCTACTCGTGAACGTCACCTACTGAACGCTGCTCTTTGAGATCGTTTCATCACCTCGGTGTCGCTTCCATGTGACGTGCAGTGGAGCGCGGTTGAGTTTCGCTAAAATCTGCACGGTTGAATTGCCACGATCTGGAACAATTGAGAGATTGACGATTAAAACAAGATACGATTTAACACAAAATATAATAAAGGACCTGTAATACAAAAATAGTCTTACAATTCGATCGTGAATATATTTAGACAGCGTCTCAATGGAAGAACTTTACTCGAGTCCTTCTGTAGACTGAAATACGTCTTATTAGAGGTAGATGAACCGCAAAGATTCAAGTCTACAAATTTTGCGTCGGTTTTATTGTTTACAGATGGTCTCTGTAGCTAGAATGACTCGAGTCACGGAATGCAGCTCGGACGACTCTGTTGCACGTTCACCGGGTGATTTCTCTTTCTAATATCAGAGGAGTCGACGGACATTGGCCGTGAATAGGCGTATAAATTTCCACGGCAAATATACGTCAAGTCTTTTTTCGCTGAAAGTAGATTCAAGCGTGAGATAAAGGTGTCCGCGGTCTGATGCCTGAGGCAACCCCCTTAAAATACGGTGACTTCTAGTGGGTAGCGTTCGGTGTTACGGCACGCAGTGCTCGCGAACTCCGTCGCGCTCGATTACAAGCTGCGTCGCGACCAACACATGCTAATAAATTAACGGGTAAATAAACCCTTGGTGAGAAGGGTCGTTCGGCGCGTATCTGGCTTGCTTAGAATAGAATAGAATGTATTAGAAGTGCACGCGCGATTTAATGCCTCGAGATTTCCTACGGCTGGAAGGTTCTCGGCGTCAACGTCGTGCAGAGATATTCTCTAAGCGAATGCTCGATTTCCTAAGAACGAGGAGACGAACTTCTGTTATACTACAACAAACGCAACACGCTTAAAAACCACTTACGAGATCATAGCTTCAGGCACCGGTTTACTTTAACCTTTTCACGAACAATCCTGGATCTGATGGACGAACATTAGTAAGACCAGTAAATCCTGCTTTAGACGCGACGCTATTAATCGTTTGAATAGTTTCCAATTTACTCGGTGGTTCGAATGATTAATAGCCGTCACGCGTAAAGCAAGACTAGTAATTGTAAATTGATTATAAAGGCAGAAGCATATTACAATTATCTATTTGGTGTAAATTTAAGGGCTGAGTCAAGTAGCGTGACTCTTCTAACCTGTGATAGGGCTTGCTTTGGAAAATATGGAACAACGGTCGTCCATCTGTTGCTTAAAAGTTTCGAACAATAGTCTCCTGTTTTGCGATACCGAATAGGAAAGAGAAAAGCTTGGAGAAGGGTGAAACGTGGTAATTAAGAAAACGTCCCGTTCCTTTCGTCTGAAGGCGAGTCGTGCCGCGTTTTCCATTCGGTGTACAAATAGCTCGGAGACCCCCGGCCCCTGTCGGCCTCTCTTATGTCTCCGCGATGCGCAGCGTCGCGTCGCACGCTTCACGCTTCTGCGCTACTCGATGCCGGGCGTCGTCGGTCTTACTTTCAATCTACTTCCTTTTTTCGTTTCGGCGGACCGGCGCCGCGCGATACGTGGGAAATGTCGTATATTTATACCGGCAAACGCTTAAGCCGCTTTTTCTACGTAATTATTCGTTGTTTGGCAAAATGGCGGCTAAGTTCCATACCTGTCGACAGACATAAACAACCTTTTGTCCTTTACTCGTTCAATGACAATTAAAATATAAACTATAATTATACACTTCGCAATAAACAAGTAGAACTTACAAATAAATCGCTATCTAAATACGCTACTATTGTCGAAATGTTACCTACCGTATTACCGATTTTGATATCTTTATTCGCAAAATGGCCGCGACAAAAAAAAAACAGAACGGAGAACATCACATGACTCCGGATCAACATTTCCTAAGCTGTACCCTGCAAAAAAAATCGAGAAGCCGAAATATTCTGTTTAACGTTAAGAGTGGATTAATATTTTTCTTAATCGTAGATTTAAGATGTCTGTTCTTTTCGCGGAACGCCTATTTGTATCGATACGCAGCTTTCGAACCGTTACGAATCGTTTACGAGTACATTTGGTATTACTTACGGTTCTCTGGTACAGTGTATTATTGTGAATTGTATTTTGGTACAGATTCTGTAAAAAGGTTACTATTTTATCATTCCGAGCGTCTATTTCGTCGAGACTTAGAGGGAATGGAGGGAAAGAGGATAGACGTCGGCGCGGAGACGCATTAGCCATATTCCGAGGTTGCATGGCGGAACGCCCCTTTCATGCCATCCCCTCCTACCCTCGAATATTACCGGGAAGATAGAAAGTCCCGGAGAATCTGCCGGCGGAGCGTCCGAACCGCGTTCCGTGTGTAAATTGGTTAACGAATTGCCGCGCTTAATCTCGTTTCTTCGCGACTGTTCCTTTTTCCACCGCGAGACGAACCAGCGATGGGATCTATACCCTACGGGGACGTCGAAATTCAATCGAATCCGATCGTTGGTTCGCGAACGTCAAAAATGAACGAATCGTTAAAAACAGAAGCAACGAAGCATCGATTCTACTTACACAAGTATCCCTGCTTAATTAATTCTCGATTGTTAATCGACTATTGTGTGGTTAATTGCATGCAACAATGTAGGCATCGGTTACGCTGGTACTCTGAAGTATGCACCAGATGGAATTTAACCGTTTTCTCGAATACCTATCGATGGTGCACACTTATCGATAGGGTAATACGATTGCTTCGAAAATATAGATTGACTTGTAAGCGGGTTTTTCGAATAAAAATATTATATATTAACGAAATAGGTGGATACAAACGTGTCATAAATATCAATTATGTTGATACTAATGAAAGAATATTAATTTGATAAGTTACAAACGTTACAAGGTAAATATTGGATTGGTCCCATCACTAGTTCTGCTGTATTTGATGATTTATACGGAATCTTTGGCGGATGAGCAACATGCAATTTTTAGATGGATAGAATGCTACTGTTTTAAATAGATACTCTATATCGAATTCATCATACTGCTATGTAAAATTAGTAAAGTAATAAATACGAAACACGAGACAAATAAGATTGAAATAACCAAATCTATACAACAGGGGCTTTATTTTATTCTCAAGGTATATTTAATTTTTGTTCTCAATTTATAAAGAATAAAGGATTTATATTCTGCCTGGAAAGACAGGGAATATTAATCTTTACGAATGCTACTCAAATGCCTATTAATCTTACTACGAAGGGAAATTACCCGTGTTTATTTACCCGCATTGATTAATATCAGACTTATACGCAATGAATTTTGTTTTTATATGTCATGAGTAATTAAAGAACAGAGATATACAAATTTGCATAAAAGTTTGAATTATGCTATGTAACCAGGAGACACGCTCGAGGTTTAAATTTATATATTTTATTTGACCACACACGTAAAGCATTAAATTCGTTTATTTAACGCTCTTCTTTCACGCATATGTATTAAAAGACAGATACTGATACAAAGGAATCAATGAACAGACTATTATACATAATTTTTTCAATCTAAAAAGATTTCGAATTACCTTACGGTATGTTATCAGCATACTTACTTCTCCACCGTGTTATTCCGTTCTACTCGAAGGGTAGTAGTCGCTTAAGTGGTATACAATAGCCATGATACAAATATGTAACATTTAAAAAATATGGGATTTCGATAAACTGCAACTAATCTTTTACTTGTACGGAAAGTTTAAACGACACCGGTCGATTGACCCTTGATGAAGAAATAAGTATGCAGTCCGACGAAGGGAATGAATTTGTATCCGTATGAGAGCAAGTAGAAAGTGAAATTCTCTCAAAAATTGTAAAATTTATCCACACGCGTAAAGTATAGAGTAAGAAATACTCCGTTTCCTTTCTCGTTGGACCATCCAATGTACGTAATATGTACAGTCACTGTAAGTACATTTAATACTAGCCATTATTCTCATCCTTCACTTCATCTACTTGTACTTCCTCCGACTTTTCAATCTCTTTCGTCTTATCGCAGTTCTCGTCCTTCTCGGGTTTCACCGAAACGTCAACTGCTTCGTTCGTTTCTGATTCTGAAGTCTTTTCCGGATTCGGATCACGATTCTCCTCTCCTTCTTCTACCGATTGCTGGACTTCCGCTGACGTGTTTAGCGATGCGGATCCATCGAAATTCTGTTGATGCTTCCCAAGGCCTACTTGCACCTCTATTAATTCGAGTTCTTCGACCAATGCTTTTTCCCTTCTTTCAATTTCCTCTGTAATACAAAATATATATGTGGTAATTATTTTCTACTCGTTTTAAGCGAGATATTTGTTAAAGGTACGTACCGTGAAGTTCTTTCGCGGACTGAGCCAGAAGGATGTCGGTCTGTGGATGTTTACGCTTCGGTGCGTAATAAATAGGAGGTTGTGCTCGCGTTTTTATAAACGACGCAAGTGGCAACTGTGCAGCACGCCAATCTTGAAATTGTCGGCTACGCGCCAACTTTGCCTCTAACGCTCGTACCTCTGCTAATTGCCGTTTGCGTGACAAAAACAGTTGTTGCCTTTCCCTTCGTAATTCTTCCTTTTCCCTCCTTCGAGCCTCCTCTACTCTTGCTTCTACTTCCGCCTTCTTATCTTCCTACAGCAGAATATATATTTCAAAAGCATTATTGCGTCTTCTCGTTCATTTTAAAAATACACGGCGATGCAATGCCGATAACAGCGTACCTTTGCTTTAAGTTTAGTTTCCTCTTGACGAAATTTTTGTAGCGTACCTAAAAGGGCGCCAAACATTCGTTTATTCCTTTGTCGACTACGTTCGTCTGTTCTTTCCCGCCTGATCACTTCCTGTCGAGATGGAATTTCTCGTGGTGTTGCTATCACTCGTGAAGATACGGCTGGCTGAAATATATATTTAATAATATTACACGGGCCAACTCATTTAGAAATATAAATATGGCTCGTATAATTTTACCTTGATAATGGTGTCATCTTCATCCGCGCTATCATCAGCATTGGAAGGAACACGTGCACTTAAACGACTGAAAACTGTTTTTGGTTCCCCGTTCGAACCTTGCCATCTGCGTTTACCACCAGGTACTTCATTGTTGACAAAATCTGATACAACGCGTCGTCTGTCTTCCTGCAATGGCCTCTTTTGCGATAGTCTATTATAATTGTATTGCAAAAAGCATGTCAATGGTTATATGTAAGGAAGAAATGTCATTGCCTGTATCAACAAATCGATGTACTTGAAATGTAAATTTTAAAAAATTAACACATAAATGTACTATCGTGCTAGCGAACTATTAGAAACAAATGCAATGAAGTCATGTGGAACGAAGTAAAATGGTCGAAAATATCTTGGTGTACAAGAAATAGGTTATGTTTGTAGACAACAGTGTTCTATTCAATGATCAATGAATTATCGTATAAGATATATTTTATAGAATGTGTAAAGTTTTCTACGACATTCTAGGAATGTATACAAAAGAATTATCGTGAATTTAACCTGGGTGGCGGTTGTATTGGACCATTTTCTCCGTCGGGAAGATCCCGGCCCAAGATTTTCCGAATACTCCGGTCGAGTCCTCGAAGACCATCTCGGGCAGCTTCTAATTGCGCTTCTAATCTCTCAGCCCCCCAGGCCTCTTGTGGATCTAATTTTCTCATCTATTTAAATTCGCCACGCTCAATGAAATTAAAAAACTAATTTATTTATCGGGTCACAACGATTGTTGTCGCACCGCATCACTGTCGTGGAGCCACCTACAATTTCGTTCCTTTTTTCCTAATCGATAAGCCTCGGGATTTTTCTTCATGTTTGTGGATCACGGTCTAGTAAATTTCTCATAACACCAAACAATAACGTCTGGTTATTGGACAGAAATAACTTTGGTGAATAATAATTTTATCCCATTTACAAAACTTGCAAAACCGTTTCGAGAAACTCGCGTTTTTACGATCCTACCTTAGTGAAATAACCTCAATTCTTCTAAACGCTCACAGCGCTAAATGAAACAACGTAAATAACGCAAAGCACACGAGTACTAAAACTGTACGTACTTGTACATCTCTTGTATATATATTCATAGCCCGAAAGGATCTATTGGCGGGAAAATAACAACCTGCAACTCCTGCAAATGCAGCGTTGAAAACCTATAGTGCCTTCGTATACAACAATAATTTTCGACACTGTCTTTCATACTGTGTGATGATGATTTTTAATGTTGATTAATTACTTTAGACGACTAATAACAATTGCTTTTTACGCGATTGATAATCGCACAACATGTCGAGATTACAAAATACTGGAAAATATCGAGCCGTCGGGCCATTTTTTAAAAATGATCAAAATCAAGAAGGGAATCAATCACGGTACAGTGTTTTTAATTCGAAATAGAGACATCATGTATTTTATTGTTATTTTTATATTTCTTTAGCGAGGCTCCGGGAGGAAGATTAAATGAAGTTAATGAAAATATCAGAGTAGATGGTGTGTATGGATTCCATAGAGCAACCGATGTAAAGGAAAGGATAGGATTTCTTATTAATATGCATCCAGTAAGTTGCAACATAATACGTGTCATTTATTTGAATTACTTTATATCGTTGCTTCTTAAATTAAATTGCTTTGTGTTACAGACAGATATTATAGAAGATGATAAAAGAATGCTTAGCGGTGTAGATTATTATTTTTTACAAGAAGACTGTACTAGATTTAAAATTTCTTATCCGTATTGTCCATATTTTTATATTTTATGTAAAAAGGACACGTACGAAGAAACCTACACCGGTTTAAATAAAAAATACAGTAGCATTATACATAAAATAGAGACACTCTATAAGGAAGATCTTGATTTGGTACGATAGAATTGAAACAATATAGGCAAAATTTCAGAAAATAATACAGTATATTCTTTCTTTTTCTTAGCCAAATCATTTAATTGGTTTAAAACAAAAATATATGAAGCTATCTTTTATAAATACTTTGGACATGATCAAAGTGAAACGAGATATCGTGAAAGCTGTAAAGTTAAATAAAGAACGACAAAAGAATCATACTTTCTACACAGACATGCTGTCAAATGTGTTAAATCCAGATCAGGAAATAGTAAATTACAAAAAACAAACTATAGATTTTACAGACAATATTCTTGACATTAGGTATGTTTCAAAAATACAATTGTGTCTTCCACTTAATAAAATTAGTTCTTTTTTGTAATAATATGTACATATTATTGCAGAGAATATGATGTACCCCATCATGTACGAGTATCTATAGATATGCAAATTTGTTGTGGTAATTGGTACTCTGTAAAAACAAGGGGGGATGAAGTACCAGTTATTACAAGGAGAAAAGATATTCTTGAACCACCCGAGCCAATTGTCCTGGCTTATGATATAGAAACTACAAAGCTACCTTTAAAATTTCCTGATGCTAATATCGATCAAATCATGATGATATCCTACATGATTGATGGACAAGTACTTACTTATTCATTTTTTACGATTTTCTATTTGATACTAGGCTGTTATTTAATACATGCATCATACTCAATTTTAGGGATATTTAATAACAAACAGAGAAATAATTTCAAGCGATATCGAAGATTTTGAATATACTCCAAAACCAGAATTTGAGGGTTTCTTTACCGTTTTTAACGAACCTAATGAGAAAGCTACGATACAAAAATTTTTTGACCATATAGACGATGTCCGGCCACATATATTCGTAACATATAACGGCGATTTTTTTGATTGGCCGTTTGTAGAAACCAGAGCAGCGTTTCATAATATGGACATGAAAGATCGGATCGGTTTTTCAAAAAATCGCGATGGTGTCTATGCGTGTAGACCATCCATGCATATGGATTGCTTATGGTATTACACGATCTATCAAACTAATTATGTTTTAAATATCGTACAGGATATTAGTTTTAATTTTCTATTTTTAATAATAGTTGGGTCAGACGCGATTCTTATTTACCTGTAGGCTCTCAAAGTCTGAAAGCTGTTGCGAAAGCAAAACTAAGGTACAATCCCATAGAACTAGATCCAGAAGACATGTGTAGATTAGCATCCGAAGAGCCGACAACTCTTGCAAACTACTCAGTTTCCGATGCAGTTGCAACATATTATCTCTATTACAAATATGTTCACCCTTTCATATTTGCATTATGCACTATCATTCCGATGAATCCGGATGAGGTAAGTGGTTCGCGTGAAATTTAATACGAAGTACTCGATCGAAGTTATGTTTCTCCATTTGTAGGTACTTAGAAAGGGATCTGGTACATTATGCGAATCTCTTTTGATGGTGGAAGCCTTTCACGCTAACATTATATTCCCCAACAAACAAGAAACGGAGTTAAGTAAATTCACAAAAGATGGTCATTTACTGGATCAAGAAACATATGTAGGAGGGCACGTGGAAGCCTTAGAGTCCGGTGTTTTTAGAGCTGATATTCCTTGCCGATTTAAGATAGAAGTAAGCGCGATAAACGAACTGATCAATGGCGTCGAGAGTGCTATGAAACATGCTATACAAGAAGAAGAGAAAGTACCCATGGATATGGTCACGAATTTCGACGAAGTGGTCGATGAAATCAAAGTGAAATTAGAGTCTCTGAGAAGTCAGCCTTTGAGATTGGAGAATCCTGTGATTTACCATTTAGATGTTGGCGCTATGTACCCAAATATTATTTTAACTAATCGTCTCCAGCCGTCTGCGATGGTGGATGAAACCGTTTGTGCCGCGTGCGATTACAATAAACAAGGAGCACTTTGCCAAAAAAACATGACGTGGATGTGGAGAGGAGAATATTGTAAGACGAAGAGACACTCGAGTAAAACATTAATAGGATTTGTTATTATAAATGTATGCGTTTCTTTTTTTTTAAATTTCAGTGGCCGCAAGTTTGAGCGAGTATCAAAGGATGCAGCAACAACTGGAGAACGAAAAGTTTCCGCCGCAATTTCCCGGTGGTGTTCGTCGAGCCTATCATCAATTGTCTAAAGAGGAACAGGCTACGTATGAAAAGAAAAGACTGACGGAATATTGTAAAAAGGCGTATAAAAAAGCGAAGATTACAAAAACGGAGGAGAGAACACAAACAATCTGCCAAAAAGAGAATTCGTTTTACGTTGACACTGTTAGAGCATTCAGAGATAGAAGATACGAATATAAAGCGCTTACTAAAGTCGCAAAGCAACAAGTAACGGCAGCATTAGCAAAAGGCGATGCCGGTGATATTAAGTCCGCTAAAAGTCGAGAAGTACTCTATGATTCTTTGCAGCTTGCTCACAAATGTATTTTAAATTCCTTTTATGGTTATGTCATGAGAAAAGGATCCCGATGGTTCAGTATGGAAATGGGTGGTATAGTATGTTACACAGGAGCTCATATCATCATGAAAGCTAGAGAGATTATAGAAAAGGTAGGCCGTCCATTGGAATTGGACACCGATGGAATATGGTGTTTATTGCCCGCATCCTTTCCCGATAACGTAGTTGTTCACACTACTCATCCAAAGAAGTCGAAGCTTGCAATATCTTACCCCAATGCTATCCTCAATTTTATGGTGAAGGATCAGTTTACTAATGACGTGTATCACGAGCTCGTTGATCCTGAAAATTTAACATATCAAATTAAGAGCGAAAATTCTATATTCTTCGAGGTAGACGGCCCTTATTTAGCTATGGTATTACCTGCCGCGAAAGAAGAAGGGAAGAGATTAAAAAAGCGATATGCGGTTTTTAATTTTGACGGTTCCTTGGCCGAATTAAAAGGGTTTGAAGTGAAGAGAAGGGGCGAGCTTCAATTGATCAAAGTATTTCAGACGTCTGTCTTTGAATCGTTTTTGAAAGGCAGTACGCTCGAAGAGTGCTATGCATCCGTAGCCAAAGATGCAGACTATTGGCTTGATATTTTGTACACCAAATGTTCAGACATGCCGGATTTGGAACTGTTTGAACTTATATCCGAGAATAAATCGATGTCACGTAAATTAGAGGAGTATGGCCAGCAAAAGTCTACGTCTATTTCTACTGCTAAAAGATTAGCCGAGTTTTTGGGAGATCAAATGGTGAAAGATGCTGGCCTAGCGTGTAAATACATTATTGCTAATAAACCTCACGGTGCGCCAGTTACGGAACGCGCTATACCGTTAGCCATTTTTCAATCAGAACCAACAATAAGGAGACACTATTTGCGCAAGTGGTTAAAGGATCCTGGTTTACAAAGTGACGATATACGGCAAATTTTAGATTGGAATTACTACATTGAAAGACTTGGGAATGCTATTCAAAAAATTATTACCATTCCAGCTGCGATGCAAGGACTTCACAATCCTGTACCTAGAGTAAAGCATCCAGACTGGCTGCACAAAAAGGTAATGGAGAAGACTGCAACTCATAAACAGAGGAAAATAACAGACGCATTTTCAGTAGTACCGAAAGATCTAGAAAAGAGTACTGATAACGAAGAGCCAAGTACGTCCGGTCATCGCGATATTGAAGACATAGCGGGTAAAGCGCATCTATTTAAGCATCCATTGCCAGTTGTCAACAAAAGGAAAAGACAAAGCTCGGACGAAAATGAAGACGCAAATATTAATAAAAGCTGGAAAGAAGTATTAGGTTCACCGCCATCAATGGGAACGACGAAGGAGGAAATACTGGAGTGGTTGAAGTTCCATAAACAGAAATGGGCCCATCAGGCTAAACAAAGAGGTCAACGTCAGACAAATAAAAAGAGTAGAAGTGCGGACAACGACGACAATAATAGTTGGAAGACTACAAGAGATAATAGAATAAACAGTTTGGGTGGTTTCTTGAGGCGAGCTCAGAAGAAATTGATTACCACGCCCTGGCAAATTATTCAAGTAAGAATGTATTTATCACGAATTTTGTTTTTCAAGCTCTTTAGCAATAACTCGTGCTTTTTTTTTAAATGAAAATGATTGAGCAATTGCTCGTTTAGATATCTGAGACAAACGAACCCGGTTTATTCCGATTGTGGATACTGATCGATCAAGATCTGCATGCGTTGCGTCTTGTGATACCGCGCATATTTTATGTAAATACCCGCAAACCGAAACCAGATCCCGAACCTGGTAAAAAGGTGTCTTGGACTAAAAGCTCGAAAATTCTACCGCGATCACGGCCTATCCACAATTTATATCGGTACTCTGTTCCAGAAGCGCAATATTTAATGCATAGTCAGTAAGTTACTGTCCTGAAATATCTTCGAAATTCTTACGTTCAAATGTTCTTTTAATTCGTTCGTTTTGTTCATAGAGAACTTCTAGAAGATTTAAGTAAGCCAGAAATTGAAGGAATTTACGAGACACAAACGTCATTGGAGTTTAGAGCTGTTCTTCAGTTAGGATGCATCTGCACGGTAGATCGCAAGGTAGCGTGTACCATAGCGGATGGTGCAGATACATTTAGCTTAGATCAATTAGAATTCAAAAGTATCGCCGTACAACCATACCTTCAGAACGTAATGTATTTTTATTCTTGTAGTATGTTTTTGTCTAGAAATAGAAAATATAATGCGTTGCATTATTTTAGGTTCATGCAGTCAATTACGTTTTCTTATATCATCATTGGAGTTCCAATCATCAAAGATCATTGTGGGGTCTTTTCTTAAACGCGAGTAAAAGGGCTCATATATTTGTGTTGGACACGGTTTCGACGAATCAGATGCCCAATATGAACGCATTATACGTCGAAGAACGGAACATTGTGTAAGATTTTTATAGACAATTTTTCTGCTATATCCAAAATATTATTATTACGAATCGATTGTTTCGTAGCGTATCTATGAGTGGGGAAGACAAAATAAAAACTGTACCAAAATCATTTCAATTCATAATGAGCTTTGAAACAAATTTTCAAAAACTTTGTCGAGCTTTGCAAGCAGCTGTAACTGCATATAAGAATGAAGGGCACGGTGCAACGATATTTATTACTCAAACTGCTCTCGGTAAGTTAAATAGAACTTCACGTATCATGTTTCATGATTTGTATAATTGAACAATTTTGTCTTAGATAAAACGTTATTGCTAACGCAAATGCCATTGCTCAACGATTTCCCATTAATTAATACCCATGTGCAAGATATCGAAAATTTATACAGTGTAATGGAGTGGCAGAAAACTGGCGCGAAAATAATGATGCGTCATTATTTTAAAAGTCAACAAATTATCGAATTGATGGCGGAACAGTGCAGATATTTTCATGCGCCGATTGGAAATATTCCTGCCGATCCCACACTTTTCGGTGCTGACTTATTTTATGCCAGACACTTACAAAAAAATAACTTCGTGTTGTGGTGTTCCCCAACGGAGAAGCCAGATTTAGGAGGCAGTGAAAACGACGACAACAGGTTGTAATTGTATTTAATTATCGAATTTGAACCTATCTTAATTTCTATTTTATTTGCAGACTGTTGACTGATTTTGAGGAAAGTACTCATTGTGCTGCAAACAATTCCGGAACTTATTCCAGCGTATGCATTGAGTTGGAGATAGAAAGTTTGGCAGTGAATACCTTATTACAATATCATCATATTCATGATATCGATGGAACTAGCTCCTTCATTGCATTTCATAATCATCAAACAACATCTGTTCAAGTAAGAAAATCATTTTTATGTAAGAAATCAATTACGAAACATAAAAAATTATGTAAGTTATATTTTTGTAGGAAATGGCAACGGGTGATCCTGCGGCAAGTGTAATTCCTAGCTACGATGAAACTGCACTTTGTAGTCCCGCGTTTAAAGCATTACGAAGTATGGTTAATGCGTGGCTGTTGGATGTCTCAGTTTATAAGAATGTATTTGCAGATTATCAAATTATTCATTTTTATCGGTAATTATAAACCTTCAAACTTTTAACAATGCATGCATATACAATTCATTTAGCTTGTAAATTGGTGCTTCTTCAGATGGTTGCGTTCGCCTAATGCTATACTTTACGATCCTGCCTTGAGACGAACTTTACACAGTTATATGAAGAAGTTATTCATACAATTATTGGCCGAGTTCAAAACGCTGGGTTCCATTATTATCTTTGCGAATTTTAATAAAATTATTTTATGTACAAAAAAGAGAACAGTGGACGATGCTTTAAACTACGTGGAATTCGTTGTACAAACAATACGCAATAAAGAACTCTTTCACAGTATTGAAATCAATTTTGACCAATGTTGGGAGTATTTAATATGGCTTGACGTTGTAAGTAAAATGGTGACATCTATATTTTGAGAACGAATATTTAATTGTACAATAACAAATGCTGTGCAAATTATTAGCATAATAATGGTGGTGTACAAGGAAAATTACCAAAAAATATAGAAGAAAATACTGATACTCTTGACGAAGATGCTGAGGATGATGATGATGAAGACTCGGTACGTACCTACATAATTATTTCATATTATCGACTTATATTATTTTTAATTAATAACTGCTTTTATTAAGCCCAAAATAATAATGAAGTGGAATTTGATGGAATGTCTTCCTAAAGAGGCTGCGTGCCAAGCGAGTTTTAGTGCCATAATAGCGGGATATATAAATGCGCTTTATCAATTTATGTCTGAGAATGAACAATTAAATGCTACTGTAAAACCTAGGAGAAGATCAACTAGTTTGAGTCAAAGTTTATCGGCACAATTGGGGTTAGGAGCACTTGAAAACACTGCGGATTTTGTGAAGAAGCTTATATCGGGAGACATGTCTCAAAAGCTTTTCCAGTAAATATTTTTATCTCGTTTCTTAAATAATAAAGGCGGGATTTTATATTTAACTTAATAATTTCGTAGAATTGTACAAAAAATATACAAGAAAACTCCGGAGAAACAATTAACTATTCAAGAGAATCCAAATTTGGATTTAGATGGTAAAGAAAGTAAAACGATTAATCCTGCTTTGGAGTTAATTAAAGCAGTGTGCAAGGTAATTAAATACGGATAAAATTGTATCGAATAATTGTTCGTTAAACAAATTATACAAATTCTGTTTTTTAGGTATTGTCTTTAGATAAAGAAGTTGAATCTCATATATATCGCATGCAAACAAATTTGTTACGATTAATTAAAATTAGCAGTTACAGCGATGAAGCTGAATGGAAAGATCCGTGCATATCGCTAATTTTACCGGAAATTATTTGTAAATCGTGTAATCACACAAGAGATATTAATCTCTGTAAAGATAATTTGTGTATTATGGAGAAAGATAGGTATATATTGTTGTATAAAGAATTATTACGATTCATTTATTTTATTCGTATAATGCTTCTATTTGTACAGGTATATATGGAAATGTCCTCTTTGCAAAATGAACTATGATAATGAAGAAATAGAATTCCTTTTGACAGATCTATTACATCGCAGGAGTATGGGTTACATACTGCAAGATTTACAGTGCTGCAAATGTCAGGAAATTAAAAGAGAAAATATGAGTGAACTCTGTTCCTGTTCAGGGGACTTCAAAACTTTAATTACCAAAAATGAAATAGTGAAATTTGTAAAGATATGCAAATCTGTTGCTAGGAAATGTAATATGGAAACATTGATAGAAGCAGTTGAGAATACCAAACTTTTTATAAATTCAATGTAGTTTTAGAAATTTTAGTAAAGCAAGTTTTTCCTTTTTTAATTATTTTTTATTTAAATTATATACATTAAGGACAATGGAATTCAATATATTTACCTTTATACTTTTACATATATGTGTATTTTTGCAACTGATTACTTAATATTAAATATAACAATTTTATTACAGATGTTCTAATTATATGTATCTTTGTATGCTTCATTAGTGTACTTAGTTTTTCACTGAACTAACATCCACTGCTGGGTCTGAAATTAAATTTAATTTGTATTTTAAGCGCAATACCATTAATCATGGTATTTTTAAATCCATGAAACATTACGTACCTTTAAATTGAAAGGCAGGAAATTGTGACATTTTAGACCTGTCTGAACCACCAAACTGTTTTGCAAGTCTCTCGAGTTCAGCATCCCTTTCCTTCTTAATTTCTGGATTAGCATCAACTAATTTTCCATCTCTACATTGAGTAGTTTAATATTACAATTACAGTCTGCTATTATCACTTTTGATATAATAGTTTACACAAAATTTAATATCTACTTACGCGCTCTTCGCTTTGTACTCGCGAATTTTGTCGATGAATAGCTGTTGAATTGGATCGCTTGCTTTTTGCAATACTGGCGCAACAATGCCGATATTGCGTTTTAAAACTTTTGGTACATTAATAGCCAAACGTTTGGTAAGCATTTTGCTTGAAAAAGTCAAATATAAATAACTTTAGGTATCGCCGGATGATTAAGGAGAATAAATAACGAGTGACATAAATAATACTAATTTTACTAATTGTACATAGTAATGGTACTACATAAAACTATATGTTTAAACCTCTAAATAGATGACAAATTATAGTAAATTATTGAATTTCTCTTACGTAATACAACATTATACAACGTATACGTAGGTTATGGTCAATATAGGAACATAATATAACAAATTATAAATACGAAACAAACAAACGTCTACACTAGTGTTGTTATAAATCCAAATATGATTTAAAATCGTTTAAAGTAATACAGTATTCTTACATTTTATTGAATGCACTTCGGTAACGCTCGTCGATTATATCAACCTTAGAATGAAGTAGTTTTAGAGTGATCATAGAGTTGCAATATACAAGAAAAAAGTACATTTCTATGTGCCTTATCATGATTGGTTAACATTTTAGAGTACAATTAATTTCAATTTTATATACATCAGAAGTATCATAGATCCTTCAGAATCTATATTCTGTAACTAAATTTTGAGAAGTTCATTACGGTTATGTACTATATTAACTACAAGATAATATTTAAAATTGAAAATTTGTTAGAAATATTGAGTTCGCCCAAGAACCTGTGGACCATCTAGGTATTCGTACATCCTGACTCTAACGCGGTTCCAACGGAAGACGTAGAATACAGCAGCGAATCACAACACGGAATGCAAACGACTATCGCTGATTGGTCGTAGAGATATTTTTGCGAAGAGTGGGGAGACGAAGCCCGCTCTTGGTTTCATTCATGAACGCCTGGGCCGCAGCCATAATACATTTGTAATCTGTATTGTGTACGGGTAGACCGCGTTAGTGCTGCCGATGTGCGTGCGCCTCACAGTCGTACACGTGATTCTTGTTTTGTGTTCGGTTCTCTTTTGGTGTTTTCCGTGTGCATTATCCGACCAATTGACATTGCTGCGTTCTTCACTGGATTTTACGTTGAAAAACAGGTAAGAAAACGCGTTTTAACCCGTTAACCTGCGCGCTTTCTGCGTGGCTTGAGCGCGCGAACGTGAATCTTCGAAACTTTCGAACTAACGAAATCTTTGATTCGTGTTTTATTCGTAAGAGTACGACGTGAAACAGGAATACGAATGACTAGAAGGCTTTTACGAAAAGGTAGAACGTAGCGTCAGCGAGAAAAGTGTACGCCTACGTACGAGCAGGCCTATATTTGTTTTGACGGAGTGTTCACTGGCTACTTTGCATCCCACGGACGATCGGAAACACTGACAAGATGGGTATTATAATACGAGATCTACGTACTAACTTGTTCGTTGCCAATCGTTTAACAAGATCAAACTTTTTTTATTATTGGTTCGTACTTACTTAAATCAAAATTGTATTGTACTTCCATTTTTTAAGATTTTACTGAATTTGATCTATTTTTTTGTATCTTAATTCGATCTCTGTGTAACGATGCAAATATTTTGTCATATACTTACAAACAACAATGACAGCTTCTGTAAGCATCCTAGACGTTTTGGGAGCTTCGTGTTTATCTTGCGTCATGCCATCTATGATTTATACTTTCGATTAACGTCAAAAGTTTATCTAGGGAGGAATCGATTGTACGATTTATGGTTCGATTTCGTAGAAGTTCTGAATTTGCGAACACTATCTTAAACAAGGTTCGTCCGCAATGAAACTCAACAACCGAGTTTTGCAAAAACATTTTGAAGATTACTTCCCTTTCTCACGTATTGATCCCGTATCGATCGTAAATATATCGTATACCTGATAATCGTATCACATCTTGCGTCACGTACAATTTCGCTTTTATCATTTCGACCCAACGTAGACGATATTCGTAGAATTTTTTAACGGCCATCTCTTCCAAGTAAGTGTATAGTGAAACCTTATTTTTCATTTTATCGAAGATTAATGAACGAATTTGTTGTAACGATAGTACGCTAAGAAGTACAATGAAAAGCATTGTGTAAGTTAGAGAATCTTCTGCATGATTAACGATCGAGTGTGCTACGTAACGCTTAGATAATGAGTTTTCATTGCAATCTTTCGCGTGTTCTCGTCTCTGTAATACATAATACGCAACAATATAAGTCTTTACGATCGAAATCATTGTTGTTTTTACAGATAATACGACGGCATTTATTATCGAATCTACTAGAATTACAGGTGAAAAGTCTCGAATTGCGTGTTAAAATATACGTTGCATAGTTTACAAGAAGGTTGTTCCTAAAAAGTAAAATGTAGCCCACATAGTTCTTTAAAACATTTTATTTTACAAATTAAGCGCGAAGAAACAATAGGATGTCGTAAATCATATGAAATTGTCGCCTACGAAATAAGTCATTGTTGCCAACTTATTAGAAACGATAAAAATTAACAGCGTTAGCAAAGACGTGACTTCGACTCGTTGGCAAGATCAAGTTATACGTTGAATTTTATTTCAATATATCTTACAGTTCGGTAAACATTTTCTGTCAGGTCTGGATTAGGTTTTTATACGGCGTCTGCGTAACATATTTCGCCGGTAACGCGTGGAGGTAATATTTCTGTTGAACAGTATTTGATATACACACCAAGCGAGAAAAAGTGGGAGAATATAGCGTTGTGTAGGAAGCACGAGAGCGAGAGAGAGAAAGTAAGCGAAAGAGAGGATAGTAATACATACTGGGTTGGACATTGTGTAAGTTAAACGTACATGAGGGGATGAGATGGCTAGCCTGGCAATTTAAAAAAGGAACGCGATGCCCTCGGTGTTGGTGGGTCGAATGGTTTTTGTACACTTTCTCGGATCTCGGGGAGTACGGCATGGCAACGTCGCGACCTACCATGCTTCCCTCGTTTGTCTTCTCGGCTGTTTCTTCTCTGCCAAAGACGCGACAAATATCAAAGGCCAGCAGACACACCGCGATGACAAAGCTGCACGAACGTCCCGACATCGAGATAGAAAGAATGGAGGCAAGAAAGAGACGGTGAGAAAGCAACAGATAAAGAAAAAGAAGTATGCGCGCGAGAAAGATAGGAAAGAAAACTGTTGATCGGTTCGAGAAGACAGGGCGATTCGCGCTTTGCCACACTGTTTTCACGGAGAAAAGAAATTGCAAAACCGAGTTTTCAATTACTCGTAAAGATCGTGATTTCTTTTCTTCATAGGGTTAGGGTTAGGGTTAGGTTGGGGTTATGCTTCGATACTTGCGAAGTTTGCGCGCGTAGCAGTCGTCGTTCGATATTCCTAAATCGAATCTATGATCTTTCGATAATCGAAAGCACACGTCCCTAACGGTTTACAGTTCAAACTCTCGGTGCGTAACGTGCAGTGTTCGTTAGGCAAGTTGTGTGAAACGAATTCACGAAATTATGGTTCGAAGAAAGAAATAGACGGTTTTAACGTGGTCGAAAGTCAAGGGCATATCGAGATTTTTCCTCATATGGGTTCATCGTGGGTGCTGGGGCTTCGCATACGGGTCCATGCATCCCATGACCTAGAAGAACGTCTGCCCGCATCTGGAAACCCAGCGGCAGCTCCTCGAAAGATATTATATTGCTTTCTCGGCGGACTTGAAACAATAGACACTTCAACTCCTTGAAGGACAGGCCAGTTCGTAGACGGTGTCCCAGAAAAACGAAACGAAAACCCATGGTAGTTGCATAGCCGGGCGGTACGTTATCGCCATCGTGAAAAATTCAAGGTAACGTCCGCCATGTTGCTTTTTGAAACAATGGCTTCCTGTCTTAATTCTCTTACGACGTATTCGGTGTTACGAATCAAATGTGTTTAATTAACTAGACAAACGACAGATTTAGGTAAAATTTACAAAAAACTTCTATTTCTTCGTTGCGAAATAGTTCGACAAGTAACGGATAAACGGTTGCTTGTCTTTTGTTTGTTATTCGAAATTTGTATCCAGATAAGAATTGTGACGATCTCTGGCTGAGAGTAATCAAGATCTGTCTGGTTAGGTCTAGGCGAGATTATTCATTTCTTGGAAGGATATCAGCATTGCTATCAGCATTGCCTTTCCGTAGTCCTTCTTTCCCTTTGTTTCGGCGTATAGTTAGAAAATGTTAAGTATTCCGAGGTAACACTAACTCGTTTAATGTTAAACGTCTGGCGCACCGTGTCCTCGGTATGCCAGTCAGGAACTCGCGAAGTGAAACAAACCAGGAGCGTTACGACTTTACCCTCCGTATCGAACGATCTTTTTCTTTCGCTTTCGTTGCTCGGAAACGCAGGTAGATGCACCCGAGTGGAAATGGCATCCTCGTATTTGCGCGGAAGTCGGCCGGACACTTTAAAAACCGATCCCTTCCGACAACACCTACAGATTTTCAGATACAACGGGAACATATGCACGAAAGGTATCCATCAAAGTGCCAGCAGTCGTTAGGTCTTGGGTTTCTGCGAGAACTCGCAAATTATTATAACATTTAAACAATATAAAGATTGTTCAGCTACAAGTGTTTGAAATTTTCAGGGATTATTCCACATGCCAAAGTAAGACAAGAATAAAGAATGACGAAATTGCATTTGTGACCTTGTATCCGAGTTGTTAATCCATGAGAATATGTAGGAAGAGGTAAGATCTCATTTAATTTTATCTCTGTTGGAAAAAATAGAGAATAGATTATTCAACTTCTTTTTTTACGTCAAATTTAATTCCCTTTACAAATAACGAATAGAAAACATTGCAAGTGGTAATCGTCATCGCCCATGGACCGATTTTGTTCAGAATCTAATCAGATCTTGAGATGAGAATATAAGTAAGTAAATTCAAGAATCTTCTGTCTTCTAAAATATCATCTCTCACGACGTATATACATTCGTTATTTCGAGGAACGATTGCGATAGGGTCTTTCAGAAAATATGTCAGATAAGCGAATTATACGCATATTTTTCATCACGTTGGATCGATAGCCATCTGCTCGACGATAAGGATTGTTATCTGCTCGATCGTGTAGCAAAAGCTACGGACATGGTTAATGTCTTTGTTAAAAAACAACTCCATGGGGAGCGGAACTGTGACCGCACTTTCGTGCGTCTGATTATTTCACTTTGGAACCTTGAGATTATTTTAGATCATTGTCTCATGTCTTCGGTACTTATCGATAATACTCTTTGCATTTGATAAACGTTATATCATCCTTTGGACATTCTAAATAGAAAAGCAAACAGGATTAATCTTTTCTGTACTAATTAATATCTACTTATCATAAGTACTAGGCTACCACTTTTAATCGTTGTATAAATTTTTTAAATATTTGTGTACCTTAAAGTAGAACTTTTATTTTCTAGTTCTTTTGTTACTTGTAAAAGCCTTTGAATGCTTCGGATAGAAGGTATGTTTTCTCATTGCATTCTCATCGAGAAGATACAGACACCTTGTACGGACGAGAGGGTTAAAAACCAGAATTTTGAAACGCTTTGTACCGAGGCAGATTTTGCCCACGTCTAAAGAGCCGTGAGAGTCGATGGCGGTGCTCGAGCACTTTTCCACCTACCATCTGTCGTTTGGGCTTCCAGCCGGAGTAACCTGATCTTTGTAGAAACCAGGGTTCGAAAACCTCCTACGTACGCTATGGTGCCTGCAGCTCGCATCCCCTTACACTTGCTCCTTCTAAAAATTGCACCGACATATTTCGCAAAATTGTGCAGTTCTCGAATACAGATATTTAACTTTATATTACTATCAGCATTGATACGATAGGTTTCCTCCAAAGCTCTATTTTTATTACAATTATAACCTTCTTGACATTAGTCCTAACTGTAAAATATCTTGATTTGAATATTTACAGTATATTATAAATTCTATTCATAGGAGCAAATGTAAATATTACTCGATCAAGGTACTTTCTAGATATTTTTATCGAGATAGTCTTCATTACACAAGTAATAGATAACAGAAGATAACGGAAGCTTTAATAACGAAAGACTTTCTGTTTTCAAAGTTTCGTGGAACATCTTATAATGTTTCTATTACATAGTTATGATTTTAATTTTGCGCTAAACTTTTAACGTTACATATTGAATTTACCAGTAATTGCATTTCTATGTAGATTAATTTTTAAGGAACAGTTATCATTTTACTTTTATGTTTATTTAGGAAAGGGCCCCCTATACCCAAAATTATTACAATTTTACCATTTTCCCTTATGGAAGGAGACTTTAGGGCGCTTTGTAGATCTAAAAACCTCGAAAATAGCAATGACTTTTAAAAATTTCTTGAAATATGAAGTCTTTGGCATCCGTTTCTGCGAGTTTAGAGTCGGCGATGTTTCACGCGTTTTAGAGCATAAGGGGGGCGGGGAAAAAGGAAAAACTCGGTTGTCAGAGTAGGTACGTCATGTGAAAGAGAATTTAGTGTACAGGTTGCGAATAAAAAGGGAACGGTGGTGATTTAGCATCTCCAGACCCGGTTCAGAAACGTGCGCGCGCGGTTCGTTGAACGTCTGTTTTTAAAGCGCCTCCCGACCGCCATTAACCGTCCAAACGAAAAGTTATGCTTTTCACGTGCGGACCACCGCCTAAATAACGAATTTACACGCGCGAATCAAACAAAATGCCTCCGAACGCCGCAATAACCTCTCAGGGACGAACGAATTTATTTAAGAACCGAGCGAGTACCAGCAGCGAGTTTGTAGAGGGACTAATTGGCCCGCGATTTCATCTTCAACGCATCGATTGCCAAAACAATTTTATAAGAAAAGTTCAGCTCTCGTACACTGATCAAATTCAATTTTCACAAAGAGTTAAAGAAAAACTTCTCTCTATTTTTCTAAGGCAATATAGACAGACTCATTTGCATCTAGTGTTCCTTTCAGAAGTATTCGTCTCAGTTTTTATTTACAATGATACCTTCGAGAGAGACAATATTAGTGTTGTTAATGAATGAACAATGCGGCAGTCGATGCGTTAGCCTTAAAAAAAAAACCGTTGATAGTGTCTCGTTGCTGAAACTTCGTTCCTGTTGCAGCCAAAATGGATATGGAATCCCTGTACGACTACGGGGATGAGGAACAGGACTTCTACGAGGAGAGTCCCGGGACCAGGAAGGGCTATCCCATCGATCACAGATCCATCAAGGTCAGTGAGTGCTCCTCTCGATCGTAGTTGCGAGGCGGCCGGAAGGAAGGCTCGAACGTCGTCGGGTTAAATTTAACCGTACGATCACACAGGTGACACGTAATTACACCGGGTCTAATTTTAAAGCGGGGCGCAGGCAATTTCGAAACGCGCCCGCCGTTCGAAAGTTTTCTAGCCCGATGTGCTGGCGCTGTTATTTTCGTGGCCGTCTTTGACAACGCCGTCTCGCGTCGGCGACGCCCGTTGGCGTAGTTGTCATCGACAGTCCGTTTCTTTTGTCGTTTTGTTTTCGGTCCGTTTTCTGCTCCGGGCGCCCGGGATCGAAGGCAGGGGTCGCCGGAAACATTGCAGGTGTCGCAGGGCTAATCTAGAACGGGCGCAAGGTACGGAGAATTGGACGTTGTGTTTTCGTTTTGATACGAGGAGGCGTTTGTATTTTCGTAACGACGTCCGATTACGAAATGCGAGGAGGAACGAAGGTCACCTTGAATAGTTTAAACAGGAGCGGGGGGCACACGATCGAATTGCATCCGAGTTGAACGGTTTCTCGGATTGGAATCTTACTCGGTAGTAACCGATCTCGCGGGCTAAGATAATTTATGAGGCTATTTATATTGCGACACTCGAGGCGTTACTTTGTAACAGTTGGACCGGTCGCAACCAGCGGCCACCATTATTTTCGCACGATCGTTCGCGACCGCTGTCGCTCGATTCCGTTTTCGCGCTCGGAAGGATCGTCGAAAGCAGGCCAATTGTTAGCGCGTCGTTTTAGGAAACGTTAATTAACCCTGACGCGCGGTTGGAGAGCGTCAGCGTGCACGAGACGCGCGCGATTCGTTAGCAAGAGAAGAGCCGGTCGAAATAGGCCAATCGTACTCTATTTTCGCAGCGATAGTTGACGTTGGCAGCCGCGTTGGCAGCGGCTGCGATTGTACGAGTGCCAGTAACAATTCGTTCTCCTCGCTACTCTTCGCCTTCGTTTCATGAATGAACGTAGAGCCCAGCACGCTCGTTCACCGTCTCCCCCTCGACCCCTCCTCTGACCTCGCCTGGACATCGTCCGACGCTTCTATCGCGATCTCTGTTCATCGTTCGGTCCGCTCTTTCAAAGTAAAATGTTATTGTAATAGTAGACAACGAACTATAATTTATAGCAGATTGGTGCATTTAATAATGCGAGTTACAAGGTTGTACTCCACCGCCTCTTATTAACCCTCGTCATTGTTCGAACACTATGGAATTGATGTTTTCAATGTTACAATGCGAGAGAAGGGAACGTGGAAACAACCGAAATCGAGCCAAATTATTTATAACATGATTTACATACCCGAGTAGCGGCTTAGAAATTTTGTGCGCTTGTTCCGTTGCTCTATTTTCAATCGTTCAGGAACAGAATGTTGAACGTGTATGTTTGATTCATAGAAAATTTCGTGGATCTGACACGGTGAACGTGTTAAAAGGGAAGAGCCGCGGTATCCTTCGAAAGCGAAAGGGACACCGAAGAAACGGAGAGTCGAGCGAGAGCGAGTTGGTCAAAGAAACGGGATGCAGGGAAGAAACGCACGCGTGCACGGCAGCCGTTCGGGGGAGGAGAAAGGAGAAATCTAAGTCGCCAGAAATAGCATCCCTTCTCGCGTCGTGCAGAGGCCAGACCTTCTGCATGCGCCTCTCGTTCTAGTCCCATGCACCGTTGCCTCATCTACGTCACGCGTTCTCTCGCACCCGGTGCATCAACGTCGACCTCCGCCTTTGCTTCTTTTCATTAATGCGAGAGGGTTGACGGAGTATACCATCATTATATAATCTAACGGGTGCCGCGCGACGCACGTGCGTCTTAACCACGACCTCCGGATATCGGAACACCTACGATACCAAGGGACATCGACGCCACAGAAAGATATTTATACACATTGCCGCGCAATCTTCAGTTTTTTTTTCAACGACAGGCTAAAAATTTGGTAGGGTTCATCCTTTCTCAGAATAACAGTTTTCTAGCATTAATCCAATTTTAAGTATATATTAATAACGCTTTAAGGGATAGGACTTTGTCATTATAGAAGTAAGATTAATTCTCAAGTTAGGTAATCGTATTAGTTATACAGCGTATTATCGACAAAAGCACCGGTGGAAAAGAGGAAGTTATCGTAACGAAATGGAGTCTCTGATCGATGACAGAGGCACGTCTGGGATAATTAGGAATTGAAATCGTTGTGTTCGTTCGCCGTGGAATCAGAATTAAACGATTTGGGCGTGGTGCATCCGTTTCCTTTCCTAGCTTCCCGCCGCATACTGATTACTATTACGCTTGTTTTCCCCTAACAATGGTCGACAGGTCGATCGTAACGAGTGGTTTTCCAGACCGCTACCGTGCCTCTCGAGTCTCCGACTAAAAAACACCGAGACACTTTTGCTCGTGAACCGTTAATATCGAGTAGTCGCGTCCCTCGTTCCGGTGAAATTAAAAATAATTCACGGTTAATGAAACTTCACAGAGCACCGGTTAGTATTTTACGCGCGTGACCTAACATTATCCAGGTAGTCTTTATCCGTACACTTCCTGCGCGCGCGTTCACGCAAGCGAGTAGCCCAGCACCGCGTAATCTTCGCGTCGTCGAATTTTACAAAGAGCAGCCTCTTTTTCTCGCGGCCATCTGTCGATGAATATTAATAAGAAGAAAGCAGGACAGCTGTTGTCTGTCGCGCGCAGGAACTGGCCACTTGGAAGGCCGTTCCTCTACCGGAAGTCCTTTGCGGAACTCGCCGAAAAACGATATCTCTCCTTTGAGACGGGGCGCATCCTTTCTGGCCCTCCCGCAGATTCTTCAGCTCTATTAGATATCTTTGGCTCGTCCCATCAGTCTCGAATCTTTAAAATTATGAACAAATATCATATTTAGCGATTTTAACTAGAAAATATAGCCTATGTATATCAGTCGGTAGGATGCAACTTATCGAATCGAGCCTCGTAAAGTTTGATTTGGTTTAAATTAGCGTTGCTTGCAGGATGACCCGATATCATTGATCTCGAAGAACCACGGTTCATGAGGTTCTAAATATACGGTGCACACGCTGCTAACCTTTAACCGTTTTATCGTGGGGGTAATAAATTCAACATGGCGTTTATATTTGCGAGAGGGAGCCAATTTAGCGGAAAAGATTTTTAATCGTCCGTGTCTTCTGCCATTCATCGGAGACGAGTACGATCGACGTATAAATAGATGGCGAACGATGAATGGTGGCAACGTTAAGTATTCATAGAGGTTTCGTCGCGTTTCCTGAGAGACCGTTCGCGAACACGAATTTCTTTCAACCTTTGCTCGCAGCCAGATAAAACATTAACACGTTGTAAAGGAAACTACTATCGTCTAACGAGCTGTTTCATTAACGATCGTTATCAGACAATAGAGATTCGTTTCTGAACCCAAATACAGGATATCGCGGAATTAATCGATGCAATTTATATTGATAGACGATAGTGTCTAGTGTCTAAAATATTTTATACGAGAGCTAACGAACTTTCGATGGTCGTTCTTCGATCGTGTCTGGTCTATGCGGCCCCTGTCGATTCCTTTATTCGAAATCGGCAGGAGAAAAACAATTTGGGATCGATAAACGCAACATGCTTAATCGACTCATTGAGCACGATCACGAGATCGAAAATTGCTGCGTTCGACAACGCCTCGTTGGTGCTTATCTTATCAGTGTACTTTCTTCGTATACGTGTGCTTGTACCAGGCGACATTCTATCTAAGAAAACATTGATATATTACGTTCATTCATGGTATTATTCATCAGAATTGCGTCTCATGGTCAATGCGTTGCGATAGCTGTTTGTCTTTTCTTTCGAGAACTCGTCTCGGTGTTCTACCTTTCTCCGATTAAAGTTTGTTATTAACAAAAATGTAACCTTAGTTTTAGATTCAAGGAAACGACCAAGGAGAGGGTCTAAAATTAGCTATTGTCCAAACTTTACATTCGTTCATACACCAAGTAATGTTATGGCAAACTGGACAGATGGTAATCAGACGAGGATAAGTATACATATTGTGTGGAAGAAGTTCCTAGGTCTAGCTGAAGATGACGTTCTTCGTCGTCCGTGCAACGCGTAGACTAACGTTGTCGTGCAACAATACGACCACAACGATTTCCTTGACCAATATCTCTTTCGTTTCAATTCATCGCTCAAATTGATCAGATGGCATTGACAACGATTCGCCGTGACCGTTTCACCTGTTTTAAGTAGCTCATAATACAACACATCTCATATCCTACTAGATGCAGAATAAAACCTTTGGATATTAGGAGTTTCAAGAATTCGTTTTAACAATGTTAGAAATGAAAAGCTTCGTTTAGATTCGATCGAATCCTCTGTACAACTTGATAAATGCAGTGTTATAATCTGTAACTTCCCTGGCAATTTATCGACGGTCTGCATGGTTAAGTATTAATTGGGAAACGTCGGGGCCATTAATTTTCCACCTTACACGTCGTGGTTGACGGTTGTCGATATCGTTAAGAAACGCGGAATATTTCATGCGACTGCTCCGAAACGGTTCGCTGTTCGAAATATCATCGTCGACGAGTCGTTTTGAAATATGGTTTACCGTCGCTTAATAATCGATGGAATTAGATCGGTAGAAGGGAAGGCTTCGCGAGTCGTGTTCGATCTCGAAAAAATATTCTGGGAGGTTCGTGCTCCTCGCGGCTGCTGCGTGGTTCGAATAGATTTACATGTCTGAAAGGACCATTACTGGGAACGCCGTTGAAAATCTATTTTTGCCGCCGCTACTCGAAACAATCCTGCCTGTATTGCTCTCGTTGAACTCGTTCAGGATTCCTCCGGCAATCGCTTATTTCGGGTGGCTCTCCGCCGCGGCTTTTAATCCCGAACACCGACTCGACGGAAATATCTTTATAATATTTACACGATTTTTACGGCGATTCCCCGCGACTCGAGCACGTAAAAAATACAGGGGGAAAATTTTGTTCGCCTCCGTTGG